ATGAAAATTTCGGCGGCAAAACTTTGTTCCACATCCCTTCAACTTGGCGACATCCCACAGAGCACAGGATTCTAGCGTTTCACCTCCATTGTAATCAGAACGCCGCTGCCGGTGTTGAAACCATGCCTCCGAGGTCAGCAGCCGCGTGCTGCAGCCACAGTCACAATAACAACATAGTTTAATGATAATATCTCGAGTTTAACATCCCAAAACGACCATATGATTATGAGAGAAATTGTAGTGGAAGGCTCCGGAAATTTTGACCACCTGGTGTTCCTTTACATTCACCGGAATGTGAGCACACAAGCCTACATCATTTTCGCCTCCACCGCGAATGCAGCCACCACAGCTGGGATTCTATCCCAAGACCTGCAAGTCCGCAGATGAGTGCCTTAGCCACTAGACCACCATGGCGGGGAAATCACAGTTTAATTATGATGCAAACCGTAGATGGGATAATCAAGATTACATTTAATAGAACAGCGTCACTATTACCACACGTGTTATATGAAATGGTCTCAATTATTAGCACATAATGCTTCATGAGTCAAATGCAGCAAAAATTTTTAGAATCACTCAACATAGTTTGTCTGACCCACTGACTAAAGTATGAGCGGATTTACCGGGATTCGTTGCACGGTTCAAGCATTTCTATCTCTTTTAGAACCATCGAGCATGCTGGGTGGAGAAGGCCCAAGAAAATGAGTCCCTTCATCAACGCATATCACAACCTTGCATAATTTCTTGCCCTTTTCTATGAGTGCGCACACGTGGTGGCATCCCACAGTGGACACAGTAACTTTGCAAACCTGCGGTACTCGAATCAACCAACAGATATGGACTTGGGTATGTGACATCATTCCTAGAGAGAAGAGGGAACGACTTCGGTCTGAATTTGCGAACTGAAGATTCCAGGTTGCATGCTACCATATAATTATTGTCTTGAGTTTTCTCAAGAGCCTTAATTACTGATCGCCACCGTTTTCTGACCATGCTCAAAAAGTGTTGCGGGGTTCCTTTAACGTGTACCTAAGCCTAAGGACAGGTGCAATCCTCGAATGTTTCCAAATAAAATGTCGGCGTGGCCAGGGATCAAACCCACACCCTCAAGCTCGACAGCACAACAGCATGCCGCCGCTACCGGTCAGCTGTTCGGTGGAAGCAGAACGGCCTTGCATTTAGTGGAAGAATTTGAAATTTTGTTCGGATGCCCGGTGACTATAATGTATAGCTTCTCTGCTTGTCAGTCTTTGTGTGAGCCTTTCATCTCTGTTCACCCTAAAACAACACCAGTAGATATTCACCCCGTGTATCCGAGTACTCCGGTCTGCCTGAACTACCACTATTCCCGCGTCAGAGCCGATGATACTTTGTCGGCAACACAATCAAGGCGGTACTCCTTTGAGGGAAAGAATTAGTGCACAGGAGCGAAGTGGGCATATACAACTGTATCAATGCTTTTGATTTCTGGTAACGCGATCTATCTGCAGGAGCTTGGAACGTTCAACGTGCCCTCAAGGGGAGGACAGCTAGGCAGAGCATTTGGATTGCAAGCTACGTCAGCCCTAGTTATGTGCCGCTAATACCAGATCTTCCTTTTCCTAATGCTAAAGTGAAAATTTTGCTCAACGCGTCCCTTAATTTCATGTGGAAGGCATGACATGCTGGGGGCAACAGGGCTTGTCCTTGACACAGTCAAGTCAGTTTTTCAAAGGCAAAGTATTTACATGCACATCACTGCATCCCACTGCAGATCAGTTTCAGGGTATGGAAGACAACAAACAGGAGTGATGTACTTTGATTGCCTTTTTTTCTCTAAATCAGTTTGTGAATGAACCCAACCTTGCTTTTAAACACTGCCTCTATTATGTCTAGTGACATTTTCATTGCTACAATAGAATGTCCGGATTTGTTTTTTTCCAGTGACATGCATACTACTGTGACTAATTATTGACTATGATTAGTTACATTGTATAGCTGACACTGTATCAAGGTTACTCTTTCTTTTTAAAGCCCCCCAACACTGTTGTGCCTGTTGGTGCTGTGGGTAACAAAATAAATAAAATATAGGTGCGGATTTATGGGCTTATGTAAATACCAGAGCACATCGCATATCCTCACGAGGGTTCTTATGCGTATTTCGGAGCAACACTGACAAGTCCCAAGAGCATTAACAAACAGATGCAACTAATAAGGGAACCCAGTAACATATCATCGGGAAACTACAGTACAACCTTCTGGCGATCACCCGACACATTTGGAATCGATTACCCAAAATATGTTTCGCAGCATGTGCTTCAGTGCCACGAGGCAGAATGACAAACATCCAGATTATACAAGCCATTTGGAGAAAAATGTTGAATTGACAAGTATCGTTCTGCAGTTGCAATAAACCAGTGTGTGCAGTTGTCATCATGTGGATTAGCACACACGAATCAATGGCACGGCTACAGCCACCTCCGTGCAGCTTCATGCTTTCGTGACACCGCAGAATTGACTGATGGTTTGCAAGATCATACAATTTAGTGACTGCGCGACCGTGCTGGCAGTAAACCGAGGCATCTTCATTTCTTCGCTCATTTTAGTTCCTTCAGGATAACGTAGCTGTGTGCACAAGGCAAGTGTCATAGCACGAGATAATATTGATGACAAAGGGACAAGAAGTTGTCATGTCATACCAATTAGCCCAAACCTCCACACTTCTGAATGTGTGTACAAGAGTGTGACAATTTATACCCCCCGATGTGATATATTTGACTTTGCAAACTGCATGTCTTCCTACTCGTACTACACACCTAGTCCTGCTGCAGTCGGTAGCAGTGCATGCACATGAGGAAGAAAACTCTCCTCGTTGCTGTTGCAACATTAAGCGCGCAAATGATTGCCACGAGTAAGCAACATTGAAGAGAAAAAAAAAAAACACTTATTATAAGCTGCGTCGCTAGCTCGGAGGGCTCGACCAGGGCAAATAAACACACAAGAAAGTTCGCATTTTATTTGCGCTACTTCCGGCTTCAAAGTTTCGCGCAAGGGCCTGACATTGTGGGGCATAGAAGTTTCGACATCTCGAATTAAAATTACCACGTGCGAACGAAGAAAAAAAAAAGTGGACAACCATGTTACAAGATGACCAGTTCGGGTCGAACGCACAGCTTATGAAAACAAGAAAAAAAAAACACGGCAGCTCCGGGAAAAGAAAATTAATATATATTGTTTCCAATAGAAGTTAAAATTACACGACAGATTATGCAAGCGCTTGTTTTAAATAAAGCGATCCCCGATGAAGTGAAAGCACGAGGAAGCGCCCCACACACACAAGCTGCTAGGTCGCCGGGTTATTAATTCGGGGACCGAGTGGGCGTGCCTGTGGTGTCAGGCCACGCCAGCGAAGGCACGTCGACGACGCAAAACAAAGCAGCGGCACGCACTTCCGCCTTCCCTAGTGTCCCGTTACTTCTCTTTGCAGACCACTCGAAAAACGAAAAAAGAAAGGTGTGGACAGCGTGGCTAGCGCGAGAACATAGCCTCAAGGTTCGTCTTCCCCCACCTCCCGCCTCGCAAGAGCGCCATGCGACCACGCTGGAACCACGCACTCCGACGTGCGGGTATTTTCCGCACCCACAAAAAAAAAACCATCGTCGAAAAGACGGACTCGAGTCGGCCTTAGCAGCTGACACTCAGGGGGGATAAATTCACCGCGACTATCCACTGGCCCGAAGGGAATCGGCGGACCTCGAGCACACACGATCGCAGAGAAACGCAGGGCAAATGTCCTCGCTCCGGCGGTCAGCGCAGGACGGACGAACGGATGCCGCGCGCAGTTTTCCGAAATAAACAAGGGCAAGCAACAGCGTTCTCGGTAAACCCAACGCCGGCCTCTCGGCCCGACGCATGCCGCCAGAAACAAATCGAACGCCGAATCGGAGTCGAGAAAAGCAGCGGCGACGACCAAACGTAGCGGCAGCCGCACGTCGGAACGCTAGGACTAGTAGGGAAGTAGGCCTAACACCGTCCCATCGTCAAAATCGATGGGGGTCCCGTAGCGCGCACTGCCTCGTACCGCCCGATAGCGCGGGCGGTGCGGGCCCAGCCCCGTGCAGAGTTCCACACCGGGCGCTGGCAACGAAAGAGGCGGCAGTGACACAAACGCGAGATGAGACAGTTTGCAGAGGAAGCTAGCTTCGCGAAGACGGGCGAGTTAACAAGCGCATTCGCCTTCTGCACCGCGGCTGCTGCTATCGGTTACACGACGGCGAAGGACGCGGCCCGAAAGTGCACGTTTCTCGGCGCGTTGCGACGCAAAACGGGTGCGCCAACCATTCGTCGGCAATATTTGTTCCGCCCGTGTCATATCATGGTGTGAGTTAATCGCGCCTATCGCTAGTTTTGGTTGCTGAAGGTTACCGAACAGATGAGAGGACCCGTGCGGGCTGAAAACACATCTGAGCTGAGATCGGCTGCGCGCGGCGTCACGACATCGGACGGCATGCCATGCTACGACCGGGATCGACGCTCGCTGGCGTTCCTCTAGCGCTCGACGACGACGCGCCGGACATCGGAAGCGTTTTGCGAACGTTTTGGATCGCGATACGGGATAAAAATCGGGCTCCAGCTAAGCCTAACAGCGCCTAGGCTTCTGCAGTCTCCCGTCCAGCCAACGCAACAAACAGGAGGAGGGGGGGGAGTGGAGCCGATTCGAAGTTGCCCTGCCGCACACAACTTTTTACGCTTCGTACAAAGGTCAACCACGGTTCTGAACTTCCGTCGGTGTGTAGTGCATGCACCGGAGTTGAAGGCAATGACGTATCGGGACTGTTTCGTCGAGGCAAGGGACGATTTTCGAAAGGCTCAAATGGGTCGATCGAGAAAATCGTCTGAACACCCGCGGATCTCGGCGGTGATCAGCCCTTTTTCAGCGTCGTAGCGGGCGAAAAAATGGTTTGCGCAACACCTCGATTCTAACCGATTCAGGCGTGTAAGCAAAAGAAACGTCAACTCACCTGCTTGAGATATTTTTTCGAGCATAATTTTATCCCCGTGATGTGCGCCATGGAACAATAACAGAATCCGCCATTTGCAATGACCCCAGTGCGCATGCGTTATTTAATCAGAGGGACTCATGGGAACGTTCCGATTCACAGTCGCCGCTTGGCGTCCGCACGGCGCGTGGCACGGGTACTCGTGAATTTGTTGGGCGTAGTCGTTCTTGAAGAAAAAACGTGCGCGGTTGTTGTGATGTGCGTTAAAAAACATGAGTGACCGTGCCATCTCGCTAGCAAGTTAGGAAAAGTTTATTTGAAACGTTCTCCACATAATATTTCCGTTCGCAACGGAGCGATCAACCGGCGCTGGTTTCCATTCGCTTGGGCTCAAAACTTCAGACCAGCCTGTCAGCGCCGGCGAACAGCTGTGAACGTGACGCATGGGACCTACAAAACTGGATCCATATACATATTGTTTTTCTCTAGTGAACTAGTTCCGCTTCGAGCCTTGCGCTTTCTTGATGCGTGGTTCCGTGAGCGCACACCGACCACTTCCGAGGCGAGTGCTTCGTTTGCGAGTGGAGTGAACTGTGGTATGAACCGCGTGCTGTTGAAGGTGTCCACTGAACTTCGCGAAGCGTTGTGTGTAGAGAATTTCCTGAAACGCAAGTAAGCCCTGCGACACGAAACCTGGGTAGTATTTCATGCACGACCTTGGGTCGTAGTTTCATATTTTACGGTGATTGGTTGTTTTTGGCGGTGTTTGTTTACTGCTATTTGTTGCGGGTTGATTATAGTAATTTGGAGGGTTCGGTTCCGCATTTGTCGTGTATATTGTTAAAAGACTCGCATTAGCGCGCGAGTGCTTCCGCGTTTAATCGGGCTTCTATCGAATTTCGAGTACGGCAACTCTTAGAGCGTGGTGCGTAATATACGTTACGTTTTTTTTTTTTTTAACTAAAGCAGGCCCGACTGCCTCCATGGCACAGGTGATAGTTGGCGGCACTACAGTAAGGTTGGAATGGAAGGCCCAGTGTTCGGATCCGAGCAGACGACGCGGCGGGACACGTGCAATCGGCGCCAGCGCGCCCCCGATTGGTTGGTCGTTTCACACCAGCGCCGCTTTTGTTTTGAATGATTAACCCTGCTGCCTTAGAGTCCGGGGTCGCATTACTGAAACCTTTCCTTAGATTTCATTCCTTACACCATCCGTCGTGCATAATGGCGGATACCAGGCGTCGTTTGAGAAGTCATGCTCCGGAAATGATACTGTCTTCGCCGAAATCTTCATCGTAAAACTGCTGGGCAATGAGTAACCTCAGAGCGCATCTCGCGTAAAATGAAAGCACCGATACCTATGGTTGGCACTCCAGCGTCATGCTAATTTTTAACAAACAAGGTAGCTTTTGATTGAATTCTCTCGGACCTGAACGATGGATTTTTTTCCAATCCTTGTTGGGTGACGAGGACTTAAGGCGAGAGGCAATAGTGGCAATCCTCCTTGTCGAGCCGAGAGTCCACAAAATTTCACGCAGTAAATGAATTCTTGAACTCTCTACGTAGCAATCGTTTCGATAAGCACTCTTACTTTCAAGGCTGCAACTAGAAGACTGTTTGTCGAAACGTTGACTCCAGCAATACCTAGCGTTATGAAGTTTGCGATTGCTTCAAGCGGTTATGTTTTCTCAAACTTTTGCCTTACTTGTATTCGACACCGTAACCGTAGCAATGGTCACAGACTTTGCATTTGCTTCTCGGAACCTTTGAACCTTCTCATTAAAGCACTGTTTGGTCAGAGTATTCAAAACTTCTGCACAGAGCTCTAAGCAACATCTGCACTTCTGAACGATAATTGGAATGATCAAGTGTGAAGTCGACCAAACACTCTCCAACCAGATTCACATACACGAGGACCTTTTGGGCGGCTTTCCGCAGTTCTGACCCATTCATTGCCCAGGCAGCAAACTATCTCCCATATGAAGTGCTACCATACTGGGAAAAATGTGAATACAAACGTTTTTGCAGTGTGACTGGGGAATAACAAGTTGCAGAGAGGTTTGGGGGGGGGGTCTGAATAACTTACCTTGTTTCGAATTTCCGGTGGAAAGCTCATCTGGAACATGCCCAATTCAGTGCACTTGTACAACAGATTTATTTTACACATAGCATCCGCAATTTCGTTTCTTTCTCAAGTCAACACACTGGCCAGCCATATCAAAACAAAATGTCGGCAACGCACCACCTTCTTGTTGCAGACCCTTAACGCACACTCGGAGGTTGGAACTTATGCCGGGGGTTCTTCAACAAGTCGTCGATTGAAGCCACTTGCGTTCATGAAAGCCCAAGCTGCTAAAGAATTCCTCACAGCAATGGGCCATATAAATAAACGTGTTTGCAGTCCCTGCAAACTGGGATGGTCAATAACTTAAAAAATCGCGATTCGCCGTCATTTGGAGGTGTTGCAAAACCTGTTGTTTTTCGCTGCCGTGCTGGTTGCGACGCTTTAAGAGCGTTGTCCGCCGTAACGGCAACTGACTGCACACTCGACGGCACACAAAACGACAGCTCAATCCACCGTCACTTGGGCACAAAACAATTATGTTACGCCGAAAGCCGCAGGACCTGTAGACAACCGACTGTCCTGCACTATGCGGAAAAATTAACGGGAATTCGTTTTAAGAAATCAACAAGTGCCAAAAAAAAAACACAAATAACAATTATTTCCCCCCACTCTGTCACCCTATGCTCAATCTTCTTGCCAGGGTAGCAGAATGTCAACTCGATCATGTTTGGTATTGTCTTCCTGGGCTCTAAAAAATCAACGCGTAAAAGGCACAGCTGTACATTATAAACATCAGCAGCAATGCTCCCACTCGGCTTGAAATGCACACAGCAGCTCTCAGATAATCTCGTGTTGAGGGCTGCTCGACGCGCCACCTCCAAACGGCGCTGGCGACTGGTTGGTGCTGCCGCCCGAACTGTAGAAGCGCTCCTTTTCCAAGAGTCGGTCGTGGCTGCGATGCTTGTGTTTATGCTTGTGCTTCTTGTCTTTTTTCTTCTTCTTCTTTTTGTCTTTGTGCACTTTGGAGCTCACAGTGCCGACGACGTCATCTGCTTCACCACCCGTGGCAGACGACACCCCGCCGAGCGATGTCGATGGCGTGACGGACAGGGAAAACACGCCCAGGGGAAGCCCGGCGGCGGATGGATACAGAGGCGTCGGCGCAGCGACGTCCGTCTGAGGGACGGCTTGCGGCTGGGATACTTCAGGAAGCGGAGCGCCCATCTTGAACATGCTCGAGTCGAAGCCAGTTGGCTGGTGGTGGGTCGAAGCACCTGCGAGTGAAGGCACCGCTTTACTTACTCGCATTCTTACAGATGTTCTCATTAACAGGGAGAAAAAAAGATTGCTACATAAGTACACCACACTTTCACAATTCCAAAATCACCATGCTTGCCACATGAAGACACTTGGTAAACGAGAAAACATGCAAAAAGAAAACCCGGGTGGCAATGCCTTCTTGAAGTTCCCACACTATTCGCCATGAAGTCACAGATTCTGACCGCATGAATGAAAAGCTAGGTAGTTTCCAATTAGTAAAAGCTGGGAAACTTTATTTAAGCGGGAAACTTAAAAGTCAAGCTTGTAACATTGAGTTTTTAATTTAATAAAGCTAGGGAGATTCAATTGAGATTACAGTTTCTACAGTATATAATTATCAGCCAAACGTATTGTACTGTTTCAATTCAGCATCCCTTTAACACACAGTTGCTGGTTCCTTCTGGTCATGCCTTAACGTTAGCATGAATTGAATGTACACACCTAACCATAACAAAGTCGCATCTGAAACGAAAATAACGTTATTGGATCCGAAATTTTGTTATCAATGCATATTTAACAGTGTATCTATGACAAGATTATTCACTTACTATGTTACAACTGGTAATTCGTTAAATCTGTGTTGATTTCAACAAAGTGTGAGTGACTTTAATACAAGTTCTTCAAGCTCATTTAGCCTTTTTGCAGCAGCGTAACAAGTGCTGTCTAACTGTTTTGTGTATGGGCAAGCTCGTTTTCCACACGTCCTTCCGCTTTGACTGACCTCAGTCTGTAGTCCGTTACATCTGTAGCCCATATAATATGGACAATTTAAGGTTTGATTTCAGGACCTTCGCATGGAAAGGAACACTCAGGATTAATGTCCTTCAAGAACGAGAGATCAGTTCACTTCTGTGAGATCCTGTAATCTCTACGCTGCCACCACAGCTAAAAAAAATCAGGCTTCCTTTCTTTAGCATTTCCGCAAGGTCTACGACTTGCACCCATGCATTGATGCAGGAGAAACCACTAGTTCTGAAGATTGCAAACCAACCTGCCAAAAATCTCGATTTTGCTCAAGGCCCGTATACTTAAATTTAGGTGCACGTTAAAGAACTCGAGGTGGTCAAAATTTCCAGAGCCGTCTACTACGTCGTCCTTCACAATCATGTCATGGTTTTGGAACGTTTAACCCGATCAATTACTATTACCATAGGGAAAGAGCCGCGCATCTGTAAAAAAAACTATCACTAAAACGCAACGACGCAATTGTGATGATGCGTGCACTGAATACGGTAGAAATTCCGAATGACAAATTGTGTCAATGATAATGAAGGAAGCGAGAAGGAGTGTCACAAATGAGCAAACAAAAAACATGCGACATACACATAAGCGCCAAGTGACATATATCATGTGAATCACAGGTGTGAGAAAGAAACAGGACAGAAAAAGAAAAAAAAATGGGGACAAAGGAGACAAAACAAGAAAATAACTCCCATCCGTCACGTGCATGTACAAGAACAAAACTGAAATGCCTCCCATTAAAAGACTGTAATGTCAGGCTCTAAATGTCACTGTGTAGCACATAACTTTTCATTGCAATTCATCACAGATGATACAAAGGAATCAGCAAACCTGTACATACTACAGTACTATGAAAACTATTACTATTCTGACTACTATTGCTACTATAGTAGAGTGTATACCCTCTCTAACAGATGCTGACAATGACTAATACTCCAACAAATACACAAAGCAAACTACAATGACCCAGGTGTCAACTACACCACCCTTTTGAACCTTTCTAACCCCCGGGAGTCACTGTGACATTTGTGAACGAATGCCAGTGACTCTAAAAAATCTTGTGGCAGTCGATTCACAAGGCAATTATCTCTTTTGTCGAAGTCATCTGACGACTACGTGAAGAAGTGTTGCAAGGCATCTTTATGGTTACGAACCAACAATCCCGCCAACGAATTTTGGGAAAGAAAGGTCGCATTTATCCACGTTATAGATGAAAGATGCCACATGTTGCCACGGCAAGGACGCATTCGTGAATTAGGCAAATGATGTATCAAATATTTATCTGAAAAGCATTGTAATATTAATTGAAATGTCTTTATTCTTTTTTTTTTTTACTTCTCTTTCCACTTGCTAAGTTATTTTTTACACCTCCTTAGTGTCAGGTAGCCAAAAGCGGAGGTCTGCGATACAATGAAGTTAAACTGTTCCTAAAGCCATTCTACCAATCAAGTTTGTTGTACAGCTTGTCAAAGAAATAGGTTTGCACGAATATAAAATTTTAGGTTCAAAGTGAATCCTAAGGAAACAGTGATTCGGTTAAGTAATTTCAAATCGAATTCGAATAGTATATATCGCATATTATAAACAAAAATTGTGCATATTTGTCATCAGCCAATTAACCTGCACAATATTTGGTTTTTTATTAAAACAAGACAGTTGCAAATGTCATTCTTTTTCGTTCAAAGGAAGTGGAGTGGAAGCAACTTTGAAATAGTAGCAGGATTTGACTTTCGGTAGAAAGCAACTGATAACCCCAAAAAAATATGTTACGTTTAATAGTTACTATACTTATAGCACATAAGCCGGTATAACAAGCCTTTAAACTAAAAAAAGATCAATCAATACAAAATATGTTCATTTAACCTTGAAATGGGGCTTCACAGTATGTGCATACTTTCCTTGGAAAGATGAACTTACAGTATAGCACCCCTTCACTGCAGTGAAACCACCTTTACAGGAGGCTTTGCGTGCGGATTTGTAAATGTTTCAGAGCTCGAGCTACTGGGATCAATACCCAGCACGGCAAGTATAAACAAGCATGAGCCACACGAACGTCAATGTCCTGTTTCACGCTGGCCCCGAGCTGGAGTCGCTGTGATTCGGCACAGATACTTCGAAATTTCCAATTATTCAAATTTTGCTGACCCGCAGGTCGCGGGTTCGAATCCCGGCTGCGGCGGCTGCATTTCTGATGGAGGCAGAAATGTTGTAGGCCTGTGTGCTCAGATTTGGGTGCACGTTAAAGAACCCCAGGTGGTCGAAATTTCCGGAGTCCTCCACTACGGCGTCTCTCATAATCATATGGTGGTTTTGGGACGTTAAACCCCACATATCATCAATTATTCAAATTTGAATGGAAGCAAATTTGCATACTGTGATATTGGATCAAATCTTTGAAGTGGTCGAATGTTCGTACATGCGTAACGAGAATGTTCACCTATTCTAGGTATGCCATGTGCACAGTAAGTTTAATGATCTATTCATTTACAATGTGCCCACCGCATCACGGCGAAGCAGGGAAACAAAATGTGCTCTTCATTCTATTATTTGTCTTTATTCAGAATGGCACTACTTATTGGTCAATAATAAAATACTCTATTCGTAACATGATTTCTGTTCCTTGTCTATAAATTTAGCATATTAAGAAAAGCAAAAGAGTATTTTGCTGCAGTCGATTTGTCAGGCAATAAGCCCCTTTGATGAAGCCACTTGACGATTACTTTGAAAAGTGTTGCAGGGCCCCTCCCCTCCATGTGATCACAAATATGTAGGGGTACTGCGAGTAATAGAAATTTCAAATCTTTTTTCGAGTAAAAATTTGCTGTTCAATTCAATTCACACTTAAATTTTTACTATTAGAACTATTCTAACTTCCCAAAGACAAATGCAGCCAACGTCGCAAGTGAACTGATTCAAGATGCTGCTGGTTCCAACACAAAGATGATTGGTGTGGCAGAGGGAGAGAGGTGCTGAATTAATGCTGTTATGGATCTGAAATTTTCGCACGAAATCCAAAAAATTGAACGTGGAAAACTTTTAGCACCCAAAGTTTCAAATGTTCTTGGACTTGGACGTCTATGCAGCGAAATTGGAACTCCTAGCCAGATCAGTTGGGCTTGTACAGAATGTAGAAGTCCGAAGAATTGCATGTCGAAGATTTTTAGCATCTAAAATTTCAAATGTTTCTGGATGTTGACGTCTACGCGGCAAATTCAAAACTCTTAGCCAGATCGGTTGGGCTTCCACAGCAGTTGAAAGTCTGAAAAATCAGATGTTGAAGATTTTTAGCACCCAAAATGTCAAATGTTTTTGGACGGTAAATGTCTACGCAGCAAATTTTGGAACTCCTATCCACATCAGTTGTGCTTCCACAGAAGTTGAAGAAAAGTAGGAGAGGCTGAGGTAATAGCACCTTTGCCTTTCACGTGTACAGTGCTGCTGGCAACACTTTGGTGGCACCAAATCATAGTCTGATACAATTTAGCCTCTGGATTGCCTCATTCTTAACAAGACAACTACGAAATACAACCCCACCAGTGCTTCAAAAACCTAGCGAGAAACATTTATCGTGTTGCCATATCATAAGAATATGCTTAGGATTCCTCTCCAATTTCTTTTTGCCACACACAATTTACCTTCAAATTATTAGCAAAATATTCTAGACATATTCGAGAAATATTCTAAAATTATTCGACTCAATTTGCACTTGCACTTTGATATTAGAGTCCGCTTCGCACCCCCAATTTTTCTATTCTCTCAGCTTTACAAATAAGACATGCTGTTGGAAGAAAACCAAATGTGTGCCCCCTCACCTGTAAGCCCTGGCAGTGACTTGGACTGTGAGTCGTCGGAGTAGTTGATGTCGGCCGGCTGAATCGGAACCAGTGGCACAGCCACCGGACCAGACTCCGCACTGCTGTGCGATGTCTCTTTCTGCTGCGGTTGCACCGATGTTTGTGGTTGCACGGGTGTGACGGCTACCGGCTCCTGGGAAATCATGGTAGCGTGCGCTGTAGATTATCTTGCAAAAAAAAAGATATGGTTGTTTTAAGGAATTCCTGGAGGCCCGGAGAAAGTGTTTTGGAAGTGTTAAAGCAATTTTACCTCTCACCAAAACGTTTTTGTTCAGTGCCACAGCATTTTCCTTTCTCTACAACGCGAAATGGGAAACAAAGATGGTGTAATTATAGTATATATAATGAAAAAGCCATCTTCATTTGCCACAAGACATATAGGAAAAAAATATGCGCTTCTAAAAAACTGTTCACTCATGGGAATTTTAATGAGATACCGATATTGATCAAGACTCTTGATAAATCGCATTGTATCAAAACATTTAGAAATAAAGTTTTTAAAAAGCGTATGTCCTTTTCCTCTATTTCTGAAAAATGTATATACATATAAACTTATTTTGGAGGGCACGGTTCTTTTTATTGCATGTGGTAGTATCTACTATGGGTGCTTGAAAGTGCGTCATTCAGGATATGCTTCGAACATAAAATTGCAGTATTTTTTTTTTTTTTTTGAAAGGAAAATGTCTTTGAAAGGAGGACAGGAAAGAAGCTTAGCTACTCGTTCAATTAACCTGTAATTAATTTTGAATTGAGAATCATTTCACCATTTATACTAGCATCATCACTTCAGCCTTTTTCAAACCTTCTTCAAATGCACAAAGTACAAGATAATAGGGGCAAAAATGAAACCAAACACACAAGTACGCAGTGGAACACTGTACAAAAGTGCCACACTACAATACAACGCTGACAGAACAACACCCATAGGTGTAAGTACGCGACCGAAGTGGGGCACTATCACGTAGGCATTAATCGTAAGTAGGTGAGTGAGATACAAGAACAAACATTAAGGAACCATGGAAAAAAAAAACACGAAAAGAACAGCGTCGTCAGACGCTCCGTTGCCATGGCTTTCGCCAGAGAAATTTATGATAACAGAGAACGAAAACAAAATGCAAACTGAAGAGTGTAAGAACCAGAAGTACGAGAAGAGATGGACGGCGAACCAATTGAATCAATCAAATACCTCAACTTCGACCTCCATGTGTTCCACATCCGAGTGAGCAGCTTCCTCGGGCTCATGGTGCGGCTGCTCAATGACTTCAACCGGCTCCGGCTCGGCTGGCGGCTCGTGTTGCAGCTGCTGTTCGTCGGCACCTACGTACACTTCGTCTTGCTCCACCTGAGTGACCTCAGCGTCTGTGGCTTCCAATGACTGAGTAGTCACGACAGCCTCTTCCTAAGATGGGGTTGGTGGGAATAGAACGAGTGAAGTAGCTGGTAAAAAGTGCGGTTGGCAAATGGGAAAGAGATATTTCATGCATAGAGAGGGGGTGGGAAGGACTTCTCAAGGTTTTGGTCAGCAAGGCCGACATGCTACAAGGCATTCAGTATGGAATTCGCAGTGATAAACATATAGTCACAAACAAAGTGTGACAAGTGAAACCTTCACGCATTGCTCGCTTACGTGAACACCAGCACCAAGAGATAATGACTAACGCAAAAAGCACAAAGACAGGAGAGAATATGAGGAAAGAGAGATGCGAGATCCAAGAGGAGTTAACCAAGGTACGCCACTCTGGCTCCAGTGTTTCAATGCAGAAGAGGAAATAATAACAGGACTCCAATTGAACAGCATGGTTAACAAATGGAAGAGGAATGCTTGACAGTAAGAGTGGCAACATACTTTGAGGTTTCAAACAGCAAGGCCATGCGACGGGACAGCCAGTATGGTAAGTGCGCATCATTGCTAAGTACGAACACTTGCAAACATGCAGCCCGAATCGAAGTAGGCGACTTGCAGATGTTCGGCAGTCGGTCGTACCTGTGAGCACTGAGACTGAGAAGAAGCAGCAATAGAAAAGGCCTAAAACCGGAAGACAGAAGACCGAGAGTGAGCAAGACAAGAAGTGAGAAATCAACAGTGGCCAAAGCTGTGACTCCGGCATTTCAGTGTGCAAGACGAAATCACCCTCTTTTACATCTCACACCTTTACGTGCAAAACGACGCCAAAAGCATGCAGAGCGAGCTCCCCCGAAGCCAGGCATTCAATGCGAGCACGTTTCATGCGACTGATTATAAGAGAGTTTGAAAGGGAAAAGTCAACATTCAGGGCAGTACAATGTAATCTGTCAGGTACTCAAAGCCCCAGCATGCAATATTACTATTCATTGATAGCATTGTAGCCTTTTCACCTAAAAATAGTGCAATGAAGATGGCAAACAAGCTGCGCATGTATCTCTATTAGCTCCCTCGGCAATGGGAACGGTATCAGTTACGGCCAGATGGAACACGTGCATTAGCGGCGAACTGAATACAGTAATATTGCACAATAAGCCTCAAAAACGTGGGTTTCTAGAAAATTCATGTACATTCTACTTAGAAAAGATGTATCTGATTAGTCGGTGTGTAAGAGCAATCTGTAAGGCGTAGATGCTAAAACCTGAAAAAACCTGAACGTGAGGACAACCGCCACCGTAAGCTCAGTGGTAGAGCGTCGAACGCGTTATTCGAGGGTCACAGGTTCAGATCGTGGCGGTAACAAGTTATCTCTTCGCCCACTTACTTTCTTCACTTTTACATTACAATTACTTCTAATAACAACCCCTATACTTTCCCTGGTGTTATAGTCCGTTAATTCTCATTAATGTTGTGACTAACACAGAAAACGAGCCATTAAATTTACACTTTTTTTCACAAATACAGTCTATCACCCAAGCCTTGTTCTGTTACTAGAAAAATGTTAGTAACCTTGATGCATTTTTTTATCCCTTTCGTGGGATCGGGTTATATGACTGTTAACTTCATCTGAAACTACACAATCAAAACCCTCTCTACTCAATCTTTGTCTACTTTTGTTATTCTTTTGTTTCCTGTGACCATTTATCCCTTTAATGCCATTTGGCCCTGAGGGTCATAATAAATAAATAACTCGAAATTCATTACAATATAAGTGTTCATTACAATGAATTTTCGCAGCAAGTGACCTTATGCTCAGTATTGTGACACCAGGCAAACATGGCCACAATGGTAGGCGTAATTAAATAAAATCAATAAGTACAGCAAAATATGACCCCCCCTCACACTCTGGAGGCCCACTGTGGCTCATCTACCAAAAACACAGTAACAGTGGAGGTTTTACGCAGTGAAAGCACTATACAATTATGAGAAATGTCATGGTAGAGGACTCCAGAAATTTACGACCACCTGGGGTATCCTTAGCGAGCGCCTAAATCTAAGCACATGGGCATCTAGCATTCCACCTCCGCGAAAATGTGGCCGCAGCAGCTGAGATTCAATCCTGCAACCTTATAGTCCCCAGTTGGGCCCCAATACTGCTAGAGCATCGTGGCAGGTGAACAACTTGGCAGCATAACGTACCTCCGTCTTGATGTGATCAGCGTCCCCTAGCAGAATCACCTGTGTGTCAAGCCGCTCAGTTGCGGTGAGAGCCGCCTCGGCTAGGAGTTCCACGCCGGACACTATGCTACCTGGCTCAAGTTTCATCTGAGATAAAGAGAAAGGTTGGAAGGCAACATCAGTCACTGGCGTAATACTGTATCACAAGGGTTGGGTAAGTCAGAAACGTACTCATATAACATCGATACGTTGCCGCATAAAGTGTCCATTATAAAAGTAATGCGCATAGTCCAGAAAAATTGATTTATAGCTGAGACCTGTGTGAATGGTTGAAACTATTCATGATACTCTCCCCCTCCATTAATAGACTTGTAGAGACATGTCCTCCATGCTGGGCAGGTAACCTCAAAGTTTACGACGAGGACGTCTCTCAGGAACACTTCAACATGCTTTTTGATGTTTTCCTTGTTCTCCCAAATCCTTGCTTTCAGCTTTCTTTTCAGTCAGGGAAAAAACAAAGTGATACGGAGCCAAGTCAGGACTGTGAGACGGGTGGGATACCACCCGGGTTACTGCTCCAGGTCAGGGATTCGGCAACAATGAAGCACGTGTTTCTGGGCCATGGTGCAGCTTGACCACGTCATTGATATTCTGTCCTATCACATGCACGACTCGGTGCTTTCAATCTCTTGAGCATATCCAGTGAAAGGCAGTGTTCACAGTTTCTCCCAGCAGTAGACAATCAATTCGCTGGATGCTCAGCTGAATGCCGGAATGCAAAACTTCGGGCACACAATTCACATTTCCACTGTGTCTGTTCGTTGTTGAGCGTCCAGAACAGGGTTTGTTGGCGACCTCCTCCCAGCACCCTTTGGACACCTAGTGCGAACCTCCCGGGCTGCGACCTTGAAATGCAGTAATGCTAGAAGGCTTCTTGAAGCATCTACAATGTTTGGGTTGCATTCTTTCCAAGCTTCAAGCAAAACTTGATAACGTATCACTGTTGAAGCAAACGCTTCCTCACGCCAGTGCTACAAAGTTGATAACAATGTTTCACACAGAGGCACGTCTTCCATTCATGCTGCTTTCACTGAACTAGCAGCCGGCTACGTGGGAAGAGAAGAATCACCATCACATTGCCCAACGTGTTTTACCATGCAGCCATGGGTAGTTACGTAGCAATAAAATCATGGGCATTACTTTCGTAATAGACCCTGTATAGTATGCAACGACTAAATGCCAAGTAGAGTATTAGGGTAACAGCACACCACAGTCATCAATAATAGTCTAGAACAACACTCTAAAGAAGATCATGTGAAAAGGGCATTCTTTTGTCCTACTACAATATTCGTCATCTATCTTGCATCCAAGTTTTGCATTACCACTGTGCACCTGGCACTTCCTGGTCACAGATTGCATGTGCGCTATCGATGCAACATTGCATTCTTGATACGAAAGTGTCCAGTGCCGTTTTCAGGAAACTAAACAAGCAAGCCAGATGACTATTATTGGTTTAGGATAAAAAGAGGCTTTTTGAATTTTTTTCAGAGTGAACAACAGGTTTATGTTAGTAAACAAGGCTTTAGAATGTCACAGAACAGGCAAACTTCCGCGCTCGTAGTGCAGCTCACGCCAGTTGTAGCATATCTTCTCTTCCGAACAATAGACATACCTTTTATGCTATAAAAGTATTTACACCCTTTGGGGCCTATCGTGTGCCCAAACAATGATCACCAGCATGCTACTTTCCGGTAGAAAATACCACACCCTGCTAACTATGTGAAAACAAAGAAGGCAGAAGTTCAGGGGGTGATGCAGGTGTGCCGAACGTGCACAATTAAGCAAAGACGGGCACACAAGATAGATGTTCACTATTGTTCTGCATCATGCATATGCCACAAGTGATGCAAACAGCACAATTGCTGTGCGAAACACAGTTACATCCCACAATAGACTAAAATATTTTCAGAGATGTGTACGTATATTGTTGCGGCAGACGGATAAACTGCAAAGGGAGTAAAATGTTCTTGCGCATTGCATACTGTTCAACGGATAGGCCTGAAAAGGAGGAAATTGTTTCTGGGAACTTGCAGATAATTGTGGGACACGGAGAGACCCCATAGGGAGTAAGACTTTGTTCGGGGATGTACAAAGGGCATCTTGGCAAGTTGGAAAGAAAAGCAAGAATGAAAGCCGTGCAACACCGTCCATCTCAAAGTTTCCATGAGAGCTCCCTTGACAAAAAAACATTTTTACAACACCTGTTGGGGCATAGTTCATTTTTTACCTGCCAAAGTTGGTCAACATTGTATTTACAGGGAGATTAAGAACCTTTACTGCACCATGAATGAATTAAACAGTTCGAAATTCATGACAAACTGACATAGTAGTGTGGTCTCAGCTTGACATAAGAAAATCAAGGCCTCATCTTAATCTTTTTCTCTCTGCAAATTTAATCAAGGAGTTTTGAACCATGTGTTTGATCTCGGATAGTTTGTCTGTTTATACGCACATGAGAATAAAAAAAGTTACCTTTAGAGACAACCTCTCGACGAACTTGAACAGAATGCTTTCGGATTTAAATGGACGTTTAATCTTACTCAACCCTAAAAAGCAATATCTTGATATGGCCTTAACTGCCTTTCCCAAATGTCGTAGAAGACGAGTTCGCAAGGCAGCACAACATTTAGAAATCTTTAATTTGAACCAGTAAACAGTTCGAAGATTGTGTAAAGTACTTTCCATTGCCACATCTATAGTGTACAAGTTCACAGCTTGTGCACAGCTTTGAAGTTTATATACGGGTTTCACAAACGACCCAAGGACACATAAATTTGCGGAGTACACCGATTTCAATCCGCTTAAAGTGTCTGAATAGGAGCACTTCACCAACGCGTGAAATGGTTTTTTTTTCACTGCTCAGAGCAAAGCCGCCGGCAACTAATTTAAGCATCGGCCACGAATGCACGCATAAGGGAAGACATTGTGGCTCCCACGCAAAAGCCTTGTTCACAAACGAAACACTTGCGCTTTCATAAGTACATCTGTAGTCGATGTGCATTTTAACTGTCCTCATGCTTTTCCCTGACCGTACGGCATCTGTCCGACTCCCAACTTCACCAGAGCAGAGTTGCAAGCCTCGTGTTTCGCAATTGTTTTTAACTACAATTTTCAGCTATAACAACAAGAAACAATGATGATACTTTGACTTTAGCAACATCCACTGATCAGTGCATTCTGATGTGTTCCCTTGTGCAGCAACTTGACCCTTTAAAGCGCTTTGTACAGATTAGTGTACACAACTTGTTTTCTCTTGTTTCATTAAAAGAGTAAGATGAGCTTTGAATGAATAGAGCCTCCCGTTTTGTTCCGCTTTTCTCAACCGCCGAAAGCATAACTTTGAATTCCTTGATATGAATGCAACTCAAAACGGAACTGCACTGTATTTCTAGTCCAAAAATCAACCCTATTTATGTAATAACAGAGCCTGAATAACTTCAGGATAAATGAATATTTTAACTATAATTTGATTAAAATTAGTCACTGAAAAACGTTCAAATCAATGTACTATGACCAATGTATTATGACATTATTTTTTAGCAACAGGATAGAGTGGGCCTTGGAATAATGTGTAGATTTGATGCATTTACACAGTTCTTTATAAGTTGCACCTTTCTATGAGGACAGATGGACCCTGGCAATAAGGCACTCGTGTATAGACCAGTGACGAAATTGTATGTAATAAAACTGCAATAAAATCATTACATTATACTAGCTTCAGTAGCGCCATAACACTGACAGCAATATCTGAAACATTAGGTCAGAAAACAATATCTCAAGCAGTGGTTGCAGTATATATAAATTGATAAAAATAAATAGACGCAGCACTAAATGCCGACGAGTATTTCTTGAAAAATAAATCTCTATAAGAAAGGACGTCCTACAAAACTGCAAGAACATGTCGTGTCGCTAGAAATTTCTCAAGAAATGTCAAACTGTAATGGAACCATGAGCAAGGCAATTATCGCTGCCTGTACCTGCTTCCACAGCACTGCCTTGATGCAGCTTTCATACAGCTCTATCGCTTCGAAGGCCACGTCAAACTCTTCTCGGAACCAGCAGTGCACTCGCAGCAGGTCGATGGCTTCGAGCACCTCTCTCAAAGAAGGTTCTCTCAATACCACACCATCGCAGTCCTCAAGATCCTCAAATAGAAGATCATTCTGAAGGCTGCCAAGGATGACTTCACCATTTTCTTCCTCCACGGCAGGCAGCCCAAGCATCACAGTACACGTAGTCACCGAGGTTGACATTCTCGGGCACGAAGCCGCACATGTGAAGACGGTGCCACGACTTAGTCAGTGCGGAAGGAAGCACCCCAACTTTTTCGACATCTTTCTCGCGAGATAGCTGTGACAAATCCGGCTTGGCGTCGATTCCGGCCCTCTGAAAACAGGACAGTATTGTCGCGGGTTTCACACACTTCCACGCTTCTACTAGCATCTGCAGCGCCTGATAGAGGTCGACAGCCAATACTCTCTCAAGCTGGATATTCAGCAAGAACCTGTCGATCAGGCTTTGCCTGTAAGCGCACTTTAACCTGTTCACGACGCCCAGGTTGAGCGGACAGGGCAGCGAAGACTGGGCGTCTGCGCTGACGTAGCACAGCCGGACGTTGGACAGGGAGAGCTCTCCGATGGCGTGCGCGGCACACCGACTGACCAGGAGGCACACCGAGCGACCCTGTTCGACCATGCTGGCGTTGAAGTCGCACAGCCAGTTGCAGAAGAGGAGCGAAGTCATCCAGGCCTTGGGGTGCGACACGTACTTGATGGGGATGCGTTTGGAACCCTGGAAGCACTTGGGCCTGTCGCTCTTCCCGACGACCAGTGGCGGCCTCTTGTCGCTGCCGTCCATGTTTGAGCAGAGGAACACGGTGAGCCTCTGGGTGCTCCGGGAGCCTCCAGCGCAGGGGTCTTCTTTGAAGGCCCTCGTCTCGTGCGGCAGCGCGCCATAGAAGAGAGCCGTCTCTTGGGCGGCATAGACGTCCCGGGTGCGGTAGACCCTGATGGCATCCAGGACGTCGTCGACGTCTTCTAGCACGGCACCTCCACTCAGGTCCTGGCAGGGGGAGCCACTCGCCGCGCCGGAGGCCCACCAAACTGGCGTGCCGATTCTTGAAGCGCATGAGCCAGCCGGCGCTGGCCTTGAAATCGTCGCAACCCAGGCGGCAGGCGACGTCGCGCGCCTTCTCCTGCAACATGGTACCGTTCAGCGGCACGTTGCGAGTGCGCATGTCCAGCACCCAGCGGAGCAGGGCCTTCTCCACGTCCTGGTAGTTGGAGGCGCGCAGCTTCTTGCGCGAACCGCTGGTGCCCGAGCTGACGGCGGTGATGATGCGGTCCTTGTGCTTCAGGATCGTCGACAGCGTGCTCGGACGCACGCCGAAGCGAGCCGCCACGTCTTTCATCTTGCCCTTGCGGCTGGTCACGGCGTTGATGAGGGCGATCTTCTCTTCGAAGGACAGGGTCTTACGGCGCGCCTGTCGCGAGCTCATCTTGACGGCGCGCGGGCGGGCTTGCTTGTCACGAAGTGATAAAAACAAACGCTCGCCTACTTGGACAGAGCGGTCGGAATCGGGCGTAGGAACAATCGAACCGACCAACGAGCACACGTTACTGGCGACTACGTCCCTCAACGGTGCCAGGAGCGCGTTCGACCTGCGCCCGGAGTCGCGGCGACAACAGTGCCGGGTTTCACGCAAGCTGCCGACACCAGCGCGGGAAGGGCGCCAAGCGGAGTAAGCGCGGCGGCTGCGCTTAGGATTCCCTTCCTGCTGCGTGATCGTGCGAGCGGCGCATAGCTAGCGGCTATTCGCGTAGGCCGTAACCGCCGACTGCGGCCGTGCGGGGCGAGGCCTAAGCACACGTGGGGGCGATCCGAACGAGTTTGTCTGAACGGCGAAAAGGAAAAGAGACAGGCGCGTTTTATCGGCGCTCATCGACCGCCGCGGAGAACCGGCGATCGCACCACAAACGAAAACAAACACGACAAAACAACCAACTGTATGCGTCAACTAGATTATAACAGCGGCGCGCGCATTCCGGTGCGTCAGCTAGCGCCACCGTACCAATCGCGTGCACTGTCAATTTGAAAAGAACAGTCTCGAAGGCCATACTACTCCAGCACTCCGTGAAAAGACACCAACGGCGTGTTTTGCCAGCACTAACAGGCCGACGCCGTCTCGGTCATAAGTTGGGAGCCGGTGGCCTTGAATAAATAATTGCGAGCAAAAATAGATCCGAACGAACAACTCGTCATTGCTGCGTACCGCCGAGGGGGAGAATGTTTCGGAGGCCATACTATATCGCTACACACACTCGAAGTTGGGGGGGGGGGGGGGGCACCTGCACCATTTGGCGACATTTAAAATACCTCAGGAAAGATTCTTTGCGGGCGTTTGAAGTGCCGGGAGGAATTGTGCGTTAGCGGGCCAAGCCAATCGTTCGTTACATCGAAACCGCGCAAACCGGCGTTCGGTTTAAACAGCACTTCGTGGAGGTCCAGTGCACTGTAGCGGAAGGTTGCTCTGGCCAGCATCGGAAATGAATTGAGGGACTCCGTGTTCCTCACTTCATGAAGTTCACACGCACAAGCTTCTTGGCAGAACAAATTGGCAGCTTGCAAAATTGTTGCTGCGCGCGCGGGGGTCTTTATTCTCCACACCAAGGTCCTTAAACTTAACTTCACACGGGTAGCGCTATGAGTGTGCGCGTGTGTTCATTCCTTGCGTTATTGTCTCTAGCGCATGCACTTTTACCGTTCTCTAAAAGAGAACAGAGGCAAGCGGCAAGCATTGTTTGTTTGTTTTTTCGACATAGTTTTCTTCTTTTTCTTTATTTCGTTTCCCTTTCTCTTTGTACCCTGTGATAGAGCTTACTATGAAGCGTGAAATTTCGGCAGCGACTTTTGAAAAGCCTTTATGGTGCTGACGCCCCTTCGATAAAATCTGTACTGGTGAACAAGCTTTGAGCTTTAAAAAAATCTGGGAATTCGAGCACTTTCGAGTGAGAGATAGTCTTGAAGGAAAGCAAACTTAAAGATGTTTGCAAGCGTTGGATTCCTCAGCCAAGCAAAATTTAGGCCTTACATAACCAGCAATTAGGTCAACTCACACTCCCTGTCTAACCTAAGCGTCCAAGATGCGTGCAGAAAACACGATCCGCAATAACTGCAGTCGCTTACCGAAAAGAAGTCGTCCTCAGGAGCTGCAGGTGCCTGGAACTTGGCTTTCTTTTCTTTCAGGTTGAGCACCATAGACAGCTGTGGAGAGTATGAGCACACTACATGCTCACTCTAATCTAACCAACCAATGCATTTTGTTACTGTGCAGTCGTCAGGTTCACTAATAACTGCACAAGCATTGTGCCACAAACTAAGATTTCAACAGATCAATACTCCAGCGACCACTGAAACAAAAGGTATATTGACTCTACAGATATACTGGTCAAACAGAGTACTCATTTTGATATGGATAACATCAGCTGCTACTACAAATATTTAATTTCCATTTACCATCCCATTTTTGTGCCACTGCTGGCAAACAGCTGAACATTAACTGAGCCACAATAAACAGCAGTGGAAATAAAGTATGCACAGCAAGACTAACTGCTCACAGCTCGAGAACACTGACTGTGGAAAACTGATGCGACTAAGCCATTTGTTGTGTCAATACCACACATGATGCCTACAAGGTTTCTTCAAAATGTGGTGCGCTATTTTTCAGCCCTTCAGAACAAGTAATACAGAAAGTGTTGCACATTTTCTTAGGTGCACAAAATACCTCGTAAATGCAGTCCTTCTGCGTATTACAGTAGAACCCCTTCATAAGAGACACTGACATAAAAGACAAATGGGTATAACAGACATCAGTTCGCCTACAGTAAAATATAGGTCGTGTGAAGGCGATGAACGACACCGGCGCTCTGGCACACAGGCTGGGCTAGAGAAGTGGAGGAAGACGAAGGACGAAATAGAACAGCCGGCCTACAGCAAGAGTGCTGTGGGTGCCATTCGTTACAGTCAATAAGAAAATGCATACAAAGTACCTTCCTTATAAAAGACATCTCATATTGCATCCTCATAAGCAGCACAAGCTGGTGAGAAAACTTAACGGCTGGGACTCCGCCGCTCAGCTATCGTATATCATGATCTCCCTCACTAACACTGCTCTCCTGTGATACGACAACCCCGAGGATATGCTCACGATGTGGGAAACGTTTGTAGACGAATTGAAGAAGTGCTTCGGAGACACCACAACGAAAAAGAAGCGGGCTGAACACACCCTCTCTCAAAGGGCTCAACTGCCTGGCGAGACTTGCACCACTTACATCGAGGAGATTCTAAAGCTCTGTAAACTTGTTAACCCCGTGTCACAATCCCGGTATGTTCAAAGAAGACAAAGTTGGCCATCTTCTTGAAGGCATAGCAGAGGATGTGTATCCGTTCTTGGTCTCCAAAGAGAACCTGTCGTCTGTGACAGACGTCATGAAGCACTGCCGTACCTTTGAAGCACAGAAGATGCGTCGTATAGCGCCGAAATTTGGTCGCTTGGCTAACCTGCTGACAGTAGCTAGCGTCCAGCGCTAACTTCCCATCTGACCTGTCATCGACAATACTACAGATGGTCCCGGGAAGAGCTGCTCTGGTGCCGTGAAATAATCCATTGCAGCAGTGATGACTACTACCGAGGCAACCAGCCTGGACTACCTTCTGCCTCGTCTCCACCATCTACTAATGTGGCGAACATGGACAACCACCGAGCTGGGCTCGAACCGACCTCCCTTCGCCAACGAGCAGCAGCAACGAAACACCTTTGCCTCGCAGTGGTTTCAAACTACTTACCTGACCACAACGGGATACAGGTATTGCAATGAAGGGCTAGATATCCCATGCCAGCTAATGGAAATGACGGGTTCAAGCAGCAACGCGCATTTCGGCCACCTCCTGTGTGCTATAGCTGCGGCGTCCCAGGTCACATCTTAAGATTTTGTGATCGTCGAAAGCGATTCCGAGAAGCGCCTTCACGAGGTTTCTACAATTCTAGCAATCGACCCTTTTCCTCGTCATGGCCAACGTGCCCTACTTCCACTCAATCTCGCCAAGGCAACTTCCGGAACTGCGCGTCTTTCTCTTCACCCTTTCTGTCATTATTATCACTGCTGTTGGTTCAATCTAGTGAACCCTCTCTAACAATATAAAAGACTAGAATCGCTGACCAGAGCATGCCTGTTATAAAGGGGTTTAACTGTATTGTAAAGGAGGTACTGACACAATTTTCGAAGTCCAAGTCTAAACCACCATCCGAATCTTTTGCATATAGCAAGTGTGAAACATAGTAAATTCTGATATTTTATTTTGACACAAAGCCCATTTTTGCATGGCTGCACCTAGTGGTATTGACACTAGGTGTGACGTCACGCGACAGTATCCACTCTGACAATCTCTTGCACCACTATGATTAGTTGTGACAGCGTCGAATACCCAACATACAAAACAGCTCCTCGCGCATTGCCAATGCTTTACTGGTGATGCACAAGGAGCGGAGTGGCCATGTAAACGTCACGATATTTTGCGTGAGAATGTGGTGCTCCCACCAGTGTCGTGATGTCTGGGTACAGTAAGAACCGAAAAATAGTTTTAAAAGCATACTGTGATTAGTTTTTGTGCTGGCATCCAAGCTTACTAGTACACTTTCTAGTCTCTCAAGGAGTGGGCCTTTTGGTTGGCATAAAAAAAAAACAACAGCTAATATTTTCGTGTCAGCACACCTTCAAGAACACAGCTGATGGTGGCATATCCAGTACTATCAACTATGTCTTGCCTCTGCCTCTTTGCCCCCAAAATTGCTCCAACAGCCGCCTTTTCTTACCACGATAAAGGTGGCAACCTTCATTTGTAGAAATATTGTGTGAAAGGTACATAGACGTACTGAGGAGCGGTTGGCGTCTGGACCCGAGAGGCATGACGGCCGGTTCTTTCCATACAATACATAGTACAAGTCCACCACGGCACATCGCAGACGCGAGTCATGAGAGAGTCCGGAACTGCAACAGAAAAAAACAGACATGCAGATTCAATCTTATGCTAATATGAATAATGTGCAGCTAGAAATAGCAGTGCAATGTCATTTCTCACAACATAGTCTGTAAGATACTGTCATGATGTAACGAGCAGAGTAACGACAAAGATAATCGCTGCTCACACTGGAGATGACGACCTATAGCATTCATAGACAAGACTGTACCTCGATCGACTCAACCCAACCAATTGATTGAATGGAGGTTTCCTATAGGTTTCGTACCATCAGAACTTCTTCTGAATGTAGCATTTACCATGTGTGCTCGCTGTTATCAATAAAGCCAAATGATTGATTGACTGAGATAAAGGTGGTCCTTCTTTGGTATTTTGTCTTCAGAGCTCCTACTGTATGCCCCAATTACCATGATAATTTGCATGCTATGCTTGTGGTCACTGATAAGGCTGACTGAGTGATCTATAGGAGGTATCCCTCAGTTGTCTTACATTCAAACCTCCTAGTGCATGCACCATTTACCATGTTCATTTGCATATTTGTTATTATTAAGCCTGATTGATTGAATTGTTTGAGTTATTGATTAGGTGAGAGGCTGATTGATTGATCTAAAGGAGGTCTCTCATGGATTTTTCTCTACTTTAGGACCTCCTGTTTTGTGTACCATTTACCATCTGCATCCACATACTTGCTGCAATTAAAAAGACATTTTGATTTATGAATTGATATGGCACTTCAGAAATTGAAGTAGCTGAAGTAACTGAAACATGTGACTCAGGCCCACCTCATCAGCTTCCACAGCCTCTCGGCAAGCTCTTCGGTGTTGAAGGGGCTGTCGTCGCGCCGCGAAAACGGTGGGTTCTGCGTTAGCATCAGCAACAGGGCCAATCTGCAATTTTTTTTTAACAAAGCGATAAAATATTAGCTTTATTGTCAGCCATAATGGTAGCAGAATTCAGTTGTGCAATCCGAGCAGTGCACAAACATCCCCACCCAAGTGATTTGCAGTGAAAATTGTTGTATACACTTCACCTGCGAGATCTGCATCTTCAGTTTATGGCCTAATCTTAGGTTTCAAACCAAACTGCAAGTGCACTAAATCGAAACACTGGAAGAACTAGTCCACATAGTGACCAACCAGTGAATTACAGTTCATGAAAATTATGATTCGTTATTTACCATAAGCGTTAAGTCGAGTTATTTACTAGAGCTGCTGTGCCCCTGCTAAGAAACAAGGAAATATAAGCAAAGAAGATGAACAATTAGGGCTTTACTTCACAGCACAAAGGCATTCTGCGAAATTTGGGTCAAAGAAACAAAAAAGGTCTGAGAGGTCTGAGAGGCCAAAAAAGGTCTGGCATGGCTAATTGCAAGTACTCAGAGCCTCAGAAAAGTTAACAAACACAAAAGCTCACCAAACTTTTTGAGAAGTACCTGAAGATCAAAAATAAATACAGCTTCTGTGGACATTTTATCTAATAATCCACCTACTTATCAATTTTCACCAGCACAAATTTCGGATGCTTCCTACTCACATTGCCTGTGCAGCATCCGAACTACAGTAAAACCAATGAAGAAATGTGTAAAGACTGGATCACGAAATTAATCTCATTAGAAAACATGAGCCCTGCATAACAAAGACTTTAGTCTGTGAGTCAGATCTGTAGATCAGGAAACCCAAAAAGTGAGCACACCAAAGTGTGCTATCACACAAATGTGACACAGTCAAACCTTGATACAACATACATGAATACTACAAACAATTATCTGTTATAATAAATGAAATGAAAGATAATTTTCGTATTAATGCAGCACCAACAATATACATTAAGAACGAGTTTCCCGTGATATCAAAGGCTCTGTCATGCCAGATACAACTTCACTGTGACGACGTTCGCCTGCAATGAACTAGTGTCATCTTCAAGTTATCAGCACTTGGAAACTCACCTGACGCGAGGAACGGGGTCATTCTCCACAATGTCCAACAGGAAGCTCAGATCGTCGGCGTTTCCATCAACTGAAAAGAAGAAAAGCGAGACCAGATCACCTATGCGTCATTTTTAGAGTCGCCAACCGCACCTTCAATTTCATTCCCTATTTACTGCAAGACAGAGGTCCCATTCAGCTGCCAATGGCCTCTGTCATGCATCAGCTAACTCCGTCCCATTCCTGAAGACTCCCCAAAACTTCCCAATTTCATCACACTACACTCTATGGCAAATGGTTTCTGGACACTCCCCAAAACTTCCCAATTTCATCACACTACACTCTATGGCAAACGGTTCCTGCAGACTCCCCAAAACTTCCCAATTTCATCACACTGCACTCTATGGCAAACGGTTCCTGGACACTCCCCAAAACTTCCCAATTTCATCACACTACACTCTATGGCAAACGGTTCCTGCAGACTCCCCAAAACTTCCCAATTTCATCACACTACACTTTATGGCACACAGGCGTAAGATACGAGTTTTCACGTTGCATCTATCAAAGAGTATGCATCTCTGTGCCAAGCAACAATGAACGAATGCAGCCGTCCATCAACCAAAGAAAGATTGGAAGGTGTGAGAAGTGGCGTGCGAGCACGTCTTTTTCATATTTGCAGTGTTTCGCAGGCTGCCGTTTTTATGTTTGAGAGAACAACTAGATGCATATTTCAGCACGAAACGAATGCCAACACTTCCAAGGTTATTTGAGCCAGCCTACAACCTAAGGTTCATATTTCAGCGATTCAAACAAAATTAAGAAGTTGGCAAATCAAAGTTACTTAAATAATGACCTTGTAATGAAGAAATAAGAGTTGTAAGTTGATGCAACTACAGTTGAGCCTCCTTTTAAAAAGACACACACTGGGGATGAGTTCTTAGCTTCTACTTTTGCGTTTACTTGTCGACCCCTATTTCTATGCAGGCCCACTGGTGTCACTGATACCCATTTGTCTGTTACATCAGTGTCTCTCATAAAGGGGTTTGACTTTACCACTAATATACAGCAGGCACAACTTTCTTAGAGCTCGTAGTTTTCTTTAAAAAAAAATCTTGGTCTGTGTTAGCTAGGCCACGGGTATATCACCACATCTTTGAAACTAGGACCCACATTTAGTAACATGCCAAACCTTAGTCTCAAACTGCTATTTTAGATATTGAACAAGTGCTTCAAACATGATGGGATGATGAGCAGGCTAGTTCAAGGAAGGAAAAAATAAATAAATTTAGTAGCTCTTCCCTTGGAGGAAAATTTGGTCCCGTGAATCTTGGGGTGGGCGCACCTCCTCTGCCGTTTCTTTCCCTTGTTCCTTCTTTCGCATTGTGCGATTTTACCTCCTAGCGTAAGCGCTCTTTTTGATTGAAGACAGTAGTCTTTCTTGAGATACTTCAACCCAGAAATTTTGGTGCTTCTGTTTGTGTGTTTGTCTTTCCGTTGTCTGTCTGTCAATCGATTCAACCACCAGAGCGAAAGTATAAACCTTTGCTGAACGACCACCCACTGTTACCTCCTGGCTGCGTTCATACTACTTAACATTGTCAATCAAAAAACTAATGGCATGCATATTTGGGCACAACATCACGAACGTCAGCGTTAAAAAAATGCATTGATACGTAATTCTAAAGACTCCAGTGCTTATTACGTGATGCTGGCAACGCGACGCTATAAACGAAAAAGCGAGTGTTTCCTACGTTTCACTATAACTACATGGTGCTGCCGCCTACCAAGGGCTTTGCATTTTAGAAAAACTTAGTTTCTTCAAGCCACTGATAGATGGCGCCCATATCTCACGCAGCACCTATTTTCTGATTTTTTTTTGACGCAGAACATCAAATAAAGGTATCATTCTCTTTCTCTACAGACAGAAGTCCATCGACTTCTGACGACCTTTGCCAGTGAAGCATGCAGATATGGTGCCAATTCTTTAATTGGTAGCGGCCATAACCAAAATGCTGTTTTTTGGGCTGAATCGACTTGGCATCTTTCATGTTCTTTCCAGTGTCCGCCAGCCTCTAGTGCGGCCAAACGAAAGGACCATCACATGATGATGAAAATGTGGTTTATAAATTCAATTTTCTCGGTCACAATTTCCCTGAAGTTTGCAAATCCTGATAACAACCTTACGTGTTGTCCAGCAGATCGCTTTTAGTCCTCTAAGATGAAATATTTCAATGAAGCGTCCATACCAAGCACACTGCTTCCTAACTGTTTCTAGCATCGTTGATACAGTGCATTAACACGCCTCACTTTGGGCAAGCTTAGGCACGTGACTTAGTGGTTGTTGTACTCACTTTCAGACCAAAGAAGAGCCTCGGCTCAAACTCCAACCACTGAAAAAAAAACTTATATTTTGTTTGATATATTATTCTTCGGTGCCCACCAGCTGTGGGTGAAAGGGTTTTTCGATGAGCATGTCATATGTGTAGGTGTGCATGTCTGCTTTTCGTGACAGTGGGATTTTTCGGAACGCCAGGCTTCTCAAGTGAGTCGAAACAAGTTTCGCTTGCAAAAGTTCTTTTGAGTAGTTTACACTGGTCCTGAGACCACTCCTAACTTTTGAGAACCCTCACCGATTGTAGTCACATACCGAAAACTCACCTGTCGTGTAGTCAACAAGAGCCTCCAGAGCCGCCAGGCGGACGTCGAGAAAGAGTCCGTACTGGGCGTACTCGCGGAACAGCGCGGATATGTTCGGAAGGTGACCCATCTTCTGCAGCTTGCGAATGGCCTTCAAACACCTGGAAAATCACAAAGCAAAGAAAATAATAGAGTGACTGACAGCATCTAAGAAGGTACATAATTTAACTGTGCACTTGCTTTGGTTCCCTACACCTATGGTATGTTTGGCGGGCCATTTTTGCAGGATTTAGTGCACTCTGGTAGCCTGCTTTACAACTGTCCACTTCAAATCAACAGCTGATAATACGTTCTTACAGTTTTCCTGAGCACTTGAGGCACCCTCACACTCACTTTGGTGGGGCGCAACCTAATGGAGGTTTGGCCGTTTGGCTTTACGCGATTTATAGAAGGTCCCCAAAACATCATTTTTAGATTATGTAAGCAGTTAGGCTACGACTAAAGATCATCCGCACTGCAATGCAAGTGAGAAGCCTTTTTATTAAGGGACATTTGGCTCACTAAAGATCACCCTCTTTCCAAGCCGTGCCATCTATTTTCAACTCATTCACCGAACAGCTGCAGCCCTGTGGCTGACACAGTGTGCATGCTCTGACATGGACAGAGTAAACAGGATGACACAAGCATTATCAACAGATGTTTATCTGAAATAGCAGAGAAAAACATACCGGTATGTTCTATGCTGTTTGAAGTAAACTTGCTGATAGTTCACACTTGTGTTTTCTTGCCTGTCAAAGTGTACACTTACATTAGGTACCAACAAGCCCAAGCTGCTCTTCTTGACTCAACCTGTTGGTCATGGCGCAAACACATGATCGGCAAATGCCTCACCACTGGGTCACCTTGTGTGCGAGTCAAGAACGTAGAAAGAGGCACTGCAGTAAATGTGTTATAATCACTTTTCGTAGCTGAAACGACAACTTAGTTTAGCTCGAAAGACTAAAAGGCATCGAACTCACCCCAGGGCCATAAGTGGGGGGGGGAGTTGAGGGGTTCTGACACCCCCACAAAGGTATTTGCTGTCACATTTTCGAGTGATACTAAAGTATTTACTGCCTTTGCATTGATCACCATTTGCCCAAGCTAGCCATTTTACACACGAACACCCCCCGACAAAAATTTCTAGGTACAGCCCTGACTCACCCTACAGTTATCGTATACTTGTAGCAAGGCAAGAGCTTCTCGAGGTTGAGGCAGCGGGTGATTTCCTCCAGGATGAGCTTGGTGTCTGCCGACAGCGACTCGACGGTGATGGGCTGGCTGCAAAGGAAAAAGCGGGCCACCCGAGAGTTACTCACAAGAACTAGCGATCACCCAGGTAAGCCGAGTTGACAATCACGAGGCCTTACCCCACGTGGGCCAGGACAGACACGACCGGCGTGACAGTCTCGCCGAGGGCTTCGATGAGAGCTGTCCGATAGTAGTTGTCGGAAAACTGGTGAAACCGAAAATGCAAACGGCCGCTCAAAAGCGGATCCACAGCACGCAGTAAGCTGATCTACATGGCTTACAATTGCTTCTTACAACTGTTAAGGCATAATGATAAGAAGAAGCATCACAATGTTATACTCTATGTATTGTACGCTTTATCGTACGCTTCATTATACACTTCATACTAACTTCATTTTAAGGTGAATTCCACACCTATATACAATTATCCCCTTTCCTTCAGTGCATAGTATGGTCTTCTACCCTAAGTGCAAAAGAAAAGTGCGTAGTTTTCTGGGTAAAAAAGATAGAGTACTACTACTATGACTGCTCGGCATCAACTTCGTCCATTAAGAATTACCCCGACAATGCAAGCGATAAAGTAAATGATAGCAAGGTGCCAGCAAAAATTTTAATTACCAACGATTTCACTGCTGCACTGACTCACCTTGTTCTTGCTGTTTTCATTGTACTTGAAGAGGTCGAACAGGAACTTCATGACTTCTGGTGGACAAATGCCGTGGATGGTTCGTAGGCCAGCCATGGCCACAGGTATTGCCTATAAGAAAAGAATGTTGCCCTCTAGTAACTTGTGCGGGTATAAATTAAATACTGTCACACAGTAGAGACTTGATGAAACTGCTTTTTGAGATTACAGAACCATGTTCACTGCGCAACTTGTGCAGTATGTTTTGTAGAGATCTATTTTCGATTTGTAGGGGGTTTTCGTTGGCTACGTTTGTACTTTTATCCCCCTACTGTAATGCCAGAAGGTGCTGTTGGTATCGTAAGTAAATAAGTGAATAAATAAATAAATACATAAACGAATACATTTATAATGTTCTTGTTCCATGTCATTGGCTATTGAATCTGATACCAATCACAAAAGATGTCACGAGACACACTGAAACTAAGGACCATTCATCCGGACAGGTGACTTTACACCACCCTCACAGTTTAGAATCAGATGAGTAGCTATCCATTTTAGTTTCCATTCTCTTTAACCTTCAGCGGAGGTCATTGGAAGCAATGCTAATGATGAAGCTTGTCACTAATGACAATGGTTCCAATGAAATTCACACCCGTCATTATGAGCTGATTTCACACCCTCAACTCAAGGCTTATGTAGCCCTCTAGGTAGAAAGTCATACCAGTTTCAGTTCACACTGCCCCTTGGCTGTGATGCTAATTATGAAGGGTGCAACTTGCGACAATAGCAACAACGAGAATACAGCCTTCATTATAACAGCCCTCCAGCAGCTGATGCGGTATACATATTTCATAGCGATACACTTAAGTTCTCATTCTTCCAAACCTTGGGCACTTGCTAAGACGGTACTACTGAGAGTACCCACTCAATGGGTAGATGACAATGACACCTTTCATGCCACTGTCTCTAAGATTCCCATTTTGGCATGCTGAAGGGTAAGAAAAAAATTCAAGTTAAACAAAACCATTACAAAGGTGTGGTTCTAGATTAGCACCCACACAAATGCCATCTCCTAATAGTACCAGGCAATAATCTGTTTAGCTCAACGAGGCCATTCCCTCTATAGGAAGCAGCGTATAGGAAAGCTTCAGGTAGGTAAATTCTGATATCTGGAGTTTCCTTTAACAGCATTACGACCTGTGAGGTGAAGTGTCTTACAATTTGTGCCTACATTACAAAGAGCTCGAAGTCTGAAAGATCTGGAATTACAAAATGTGCTCTATTACAGAAAGCAAACGAATGCAAGACAGATTATGATAACTGTTTGGCAACAAGGAGGATAAAAAAAAATTGCCAGAGTGGAAGCACACGCAATGCCTTGCCACTATAAGTGAAGCCAGCTTTTGCCCACCAAAGATCACGAAGACATGCTCTTTCCTGGCGGTGCCCACTTAGAAATCTGTGCCCACTTAGGCTTTGATCTGTTAGTGTGAACACCACGTTAATTATAAATTAAAAGATAGTTCTTCTCAATGATATAACACATAGAGACGAGTATCGGTGATTTACCCTCCAATAAAATTTGCCTCGAATTCGAGGCTTACTAAAGAAAGCTAATAACACAAATACACACTTTGAGCACTATCTGACCCGGAAAAGATGCCACATTGAACTCGTTGGGTGTGCGAGAAAAATGCTCTATTCGAATCGCCAAACGCCGATAGTTTATCGCGCCCCTGGTAAGATGGCCGCCACAACTGCCATTATTCGGTGGGTATGGCTTCGCTTGAGAGCAATAATTTCTACTCCAGCAAATTTTTTTTAAATTTTCATTTTTTGGGAACGTGATAACATCTAAAGAATGCACCCCATTTTTTTTTAGTGAATAGTAGAACAGCAGAAATCATACCTTCTGCAGAAAGTAGTGTTGGAAGTTTGAGAAGTTGTTCTGCCTAATGATGTGTGGGCACGAGTGCGAGCCAAACATCTTCCTGAAGATGGTCATCATCGCTGGTGGCCCCGCCCACGTCGCCACCATGTTGTTAGCCACCTGTTCAAAACATGCGCCAAAGAAGCTTGTGACGCTGGAACATCCAACTCTACCCCTCCTCCCTGATTTTAATGAAGCTCCCCTTCAATGCCTAAAGCATATACCAGAGTTATGCAAATATAAGCCAGTTCAAATGTTGGTCAGGCTTCCTGAAATCGCAAGGCAAAAAGAAAGGGGGGAGGGTGAGGAGCACGAGCACATTTTATATTAAAAAAATATTTACTATGTCTCTGAAGTAAACAAAGCAAAAGGTGGCAAAGTAAAAGATCTTACAACCGAAACTAGTTTTCGATTCTAGGTCAACGCCCCAAACTTGGACTTCAAATTAGGGCAATATGGGTTGACCTACAATCGTGTAAATGCGGTAAGTGTCATCACAAACAAAAAGCAGGGAAAAAAGCGTTTGATACTTCTGTGCATGCAATAACAGTGTTCTTTTACGTAAAAAGAAACATGAAGTATACTTAATAAAGAACAAGAACAGGAGATGCAATACGACATTTACAAAAATAGGACCGTATAAAAAAATTCTGGTTACCGATATAACAGGAATCGAATCGAGTGCTGTTAGCACAGAAACCGAGAACTGTAAACATTACATCATGAATGCAGGAGTCGACAGGTTGAATAGAACGTGATCAACAATTTCCCCCACGCAAGCTCGCATGTGCAAACGTGCACATTCCAGTAATACAGTATTCTCTGCATATGACTGTTATCCAAATTAAGAGCTTTGTATGAAACTCATATAAAGCTTAGAAAGCTATACATGGGTCAAACAATATTATAATAATGGTATACAAAACATTTTGATAAGAGTGTAACATACCCATCCCCTATTTCCTGTGTAACTACGCCAGCAAGCTCACTATGTACAAGGTCCAATAAATGCCCTTTTGCGTCTTTGAGTGAAAGAAGGAGATTTTTCAGCGTCCTTTGAGTGCACCAGACCCTACGAAATGAAGTACAGTAATGAACAATATTAAAAAGAATGTTAAGATTACGTTCGCAAGGCCATGGCAATTGAACAGATCTGCAAAGCAAGCAAGTGTTTCTAGCACTAGATGTTCAAGTGGAGATACACCTTTTGCAAATGAAGCCGTCAAATTCATATGCACATATCACGAATAAGTGTTGCTTGAGCATGAATTCAGTGTTCCCTTTCATATTTCCCACGACGTACCTGCTAAGCAGGTGACCTCACCTGGCGCAGGCAGAAGGCAGCGGCGCATCGGACTCTGTAGAAACAGTGCTCGTTCTCGATGGTGTCCGTCAGTGCGAGTCGGGTTTGCGGGGTGGGAAACTGGCTCAACGCTTCAATTGCCTGAATTTGAGGGCACACAGAACAAATGAGTACATTCGAAATCATGAATCTATGATAGATATAGTATAGAGACATTATTGTACAATACCGACTGAAACACTAAAATTTAGCGCTAAGTTGTGCACATACTTTAGCGTCTCGTGTCTACAGTTTGTGCCATATTAAAGTAGTTTTGGACTGGAACACTTACGTCAAGAACAGAATACCTTTAGCAGCCACATTTTCAGTGACATGATGTGGTTATGCACGAGCGAGTGCTCGTAGCAGCCATTATACTAAGAACACGATATTGCAATCAAATCTGTGATCATTGTACAAAACCTTGTAGTAACGGGCATTTGGATCCCTCGCCATGGACTAGCTATGATCTATAAAAAATATTTGTGTGCATGAACAAGCTACAAGTAAAATGTAGTGAACCTCAATATTGTGAATATGTACATAATCAGGCAAATAAGAAGTTATTTCAATGCTGTTACAGTGTAACAGGTGCTACAATATGTTTAGGACATAACACATAACAGGTATATGTATAGGACATAACAAAGCTACTTGTGTATATTATGCAACTTTGTAACAAACAATAGTGAATATTATCATGTAAATATAGAATTTTCCTGGCAGTATTAGTTCATAATAATTGCATGCATGTAACAAACACTTGATATAATGAAAAAATCTGTATGTTGGATGTAATTGTAGTTAGTTAAATCCACAAAATCAGCAGAACCGAATCAAGTCATCAGCATAAAAACAATGCACGAAACTGAGGTACAGTTATTACGCCAGTGAAAACTTGTAGAGTGTACTCGACTTCCTAAAGGTAGGGTGTCATTTCTCGGAAATAGAATTTCTTCACGCACACTTAACAACTGACGTTTGATCGTCCTCAAGAATGGTTGATTAAACATACGTACAGCTAAACCCTTTATAAGAGACGTGCTCTGGTCAGCCGTTCCACTGCCCCTTGTACGAAGGGTAGCACATTTTCATTTTCTGGCCAACCCATATTTAGATGCCCGCACAGTGATGTCTCTTATACCCAACTGTCTCTTACATCAGTGTCTCTTAAGGGGTTCCGCTGTTTCTGTTATGAGAGCGAAAACGTTGCCTTGCAACCAGACATCAGTACTGCTTTTTTTTTTCATTCTTCACACCACAAATGTTCCTGAACAGCCGGCGTTGATGGTATAAATTGACAACCCAACCACACACATTGACATATGTAATATGAGGTCGTTAGTAACGCTGGCGAATCTCATAAGTAAAGTTTATAGCTTTCAAAGTGTACTGAACGGCACTATGCATGCTGGTCTGCCGTAACCCATCTATACTAGAGCAAACCGACCTCGATTTGAGATGTAACGTCCCGCTCGTAGCGCAGCTGGTACTGCCACTGGTAGTCGGGCTGGATGAATACCACCTGCCGCAGAAGCAGCATGTCCGGGTCAATGCGAATCCACAGCACGGGTGAGTCAGCACTGTGGAGACGAAAAATTATGCAACATTTTTTTTTTAATTTTGCATAGCTCTACATACTCTGCTTTAAGCTTAAACAGGTTCTGAATCACTTCTCAACACGTACCGTAAAATCTCAAGCAAGCCTCCCTTCCTTGCTTTACAGTGGAGATAATTGGACAAGATTCAGAGAGGGGCCCTTGCTCGGTCTAGAATGATAATTCAAGATGGTGGTAGAAAAGCTGCCAAGAAGTGATTTGAACAGAATGCATCACTGTGCGCATGCACTTAAGGTCTTACTGAACAAAAGGAAATCCTCACGTGAAATTTTATGTGTAATAAAAAGGGGGGGACGTTTTTCAAATGTTCTGACAATTTGCGATGACTCAGAATGCAACATCATGGCCCCACAACTGTAAAAGTATCAAGAAATTGTGCACATAAGGACTCTAATAACTTGAGCTCCTCGGAACTGCTGCTGCAGGATTCTGCAGCAGCGGTTCATCGGAGCATATTTCAAGTCTCCCTAAAAGGGAAAAAGGGTGCTAGCATAAGATTTTACGGTAGCATTCAATTGTCTCAGCATGGGAGTTTTTTTGCCTCGTGAATCTATTACCACAAAATTTATGAAAATACATCAAGAACGATACAGGGGTCGTTGTGCCCTTGAAAGGTGTTCCAAAGAGTGTGGTGGAGGCTAAGCACGAAGGGATGACATGGGACACGGGGTAAAGAAGTATGTCAGTACGCGCTATGAAACATAATCTGTGTTTCCTGTTGCAGATTCTGCGCTAGCAACTATGGAGCGCTGCGGCAGCATGTAGCGGCACCCCAGGGCAAGAAGTACAACCGATCCAGACGCTGCTCTTAATTATGTCCAATATTTGCCAATTACAAGCTATCTGCTGTTCGACATCAAACATCAGGGGCTAGGAGCTCCCCAGGGGGTAAGCAAAGACCTCTGTAACAAAAATGGGCAACTTAGAAAAAAGGTTATTTCCTTCGCGCTCTACTTGTAAACTCTGTCTGCCACACACGACTGCAAGATTTGACTGAGATGTTCATAGCAATGTCTGATAATCGCAGTACGCATGTGTTTTCTCACCATGCCCGAGGGCTGGCTAGTGAACTCTTCACTAAGCAACGATGTAGAGTTTCGATAGAGGAAAAAGTTGCACAAAACCGACACGGCGAGTTCCACCCAACAAATCGAAGGTGGGGGGGACGGGTTTTGCGAATGAAGAGAAAAAATTCGGCAAACTGAAAAAAGCGTACTGAACTGAAGTATAAACTATGTTGATCAGCAGCACGTATGTACAAAGTTTGAAATTTAAAAACATAGGCTGCAATGCCGACAGGAAGCGATCTCTTATCGTTCCTTCTGAACCATATTTGAGGTCAAAACACCATGTCGGCCTTCAGATATGAAGTGAAAAAGAGAAAGGAGAAGCTCCAAAATTATGCCGGGGACTGCATAACACTTTCTGCTGTGCTCCAGCTTTGCGACCCCTGCAGAGTGTTTTTTATCATGGGACAATGAATGTCTCATGGCCAGGAAGTTAGGGTGCTGAGGTGTTGCTTTGTACATATATTCTAGTCAGCCATAATACGTAAGGAGCTATGAAGTATCTATTTACTCCAGAGTCAATTATGATGCCTTTTCATATTGTATCACATTGCAATTTTACTGCATAAGAAGCAAGGAATGCTTAGAAATTTTTAAAATTAATGCCAGTGCTGATTCAGGGTATGAAAAAGAGTTACCTACAGTCTTTAAAACATGCTGCATGCCACAGTTTTGTATTAACACAATAATCATGGAGCTGTTAAAGCAATGGCTGCTATGTGTAAGTATGACTACAGCAAAATCAAATCTTAGCAGCTCAAAACATTTGGTAAATGCCGTCACAAATATACTAGGGGAAGTCAAATCTTTTTAATGCTCTCAGACATTTCATAATTACTGTATTTTTTGTGTGTGAATGTGTGTGTGTGCAACTGTCTATTCGAACAGAACTTCTGGAACTGCCACGATTGTTTGAGAAATCTAATTCGGAATGTTTTAAATGCAAGGTCACTGTAAGCCAACAGTAGCTTTGCTTCCTAATGGCCATCTAAAAAAGTGAATGACTTTGAGGAATGTTGCCCACCACTGTCTAGAATAAACATGGGCTTTCAGGGTTGATTTACACTCAAACCTTGATAAAACAAACCTAGATATAATGAAACTTTTGTATTAATGAAATAAATGAAGAAAAGCCTTTCAATGGATACAGTGTTATGAATATATTTTTGTAACAAATTTTTGAATATAAGAAACTTGTTTTTATGTAACATGCAATTTTGTTATAATGAGGTTAGAGTGTATGGGACCATTACAGGCGTCATGCGCTGCAAATGCGTGCAAACACCCAACACCCGTGGTCGCATCAAGGTTCTAAAGGACTCACTCCATTGCAGAGAGATCCATGTCCACCTCTTCACCCGTGCATAGAGGAATCTTCTTCTTCTTGTTCCTGTTGGGAACAAAATGAGCACATGGGTCATGACGAGGGCCCATGAACAAACATGGTACACATGAAACTGGATATAGAACTTGAATGTTGAGAAATGAATTGATTGATAATTTCATATAATGGTTATTACAGCAGATTGATGCTTAATCTTGCTACTGACCATAAAGAAGAAAATTGACATTTAGGTGCTCATACAGAAACTTTGTTCACAAAAAACTGAATGAAAGAAGGCCATCCCTGAAATATTTTAGGCACTCCTGAATATGCAACGAAGCGGCTTCAAGTACGTATCCAGCAATGTGACTCCAACTAACTGGAATGATGATTGCCATTTATTCTCTTAAGCATCTTGTCAGTAGTTTGAAGGATGAGTGATTCTAGACAATGTCGCGATGACACAAATTGTAGCTAATACGCATGTGCAGGCATTTTTACTGCATTTCAGTAAAGCATTTGTTGACGAGCTGCCTTTAATGGCAACATGTGTACACGTCATATTAACCCCGTTGATGCACGCCGCTATTGCGCAATTGTTGCAGTATTAGGCTTCTCCATGAGCATACCAGAGTTTAAATTTTTTTAACATTGTTCTTAACTTTGTTATATTTTGTTTGTCATTCTAGTTCTTCTTAACTTTTCTTTGTTTTTTTTTATTTTTTTGTTTTATGAGTAAGGATGAACTGCTACTGTGGACTGACAATTGACTGACACTATTTCCATACTTTCATACCACTATTGCAACAATTTTGTAACACTTCCATAACACTTTCATAATGCTTTCTTAATTAAGCTTCTCATGCTTAGGCATCAATACTCTCCAATAGGTCAAACGGAACCCCCAAGCCACGAATCTCAACATTCTATACCCAAAACACGAGCTCCATAGTGTCTCACTGCTTCCGCGATGTTGCACTAATTTGCTTCTAGTATCTGAGATGTGCAGGCACCGACCTCCTGCTCTTCGAGTGGCAGGTGATGTCGTGCTTGGTGGCGTTCTCTTCAATCTGAAGGTTGTGCTTGAACGTGCCATCCAACTCTTGGATGGTAATGGTTAGTGGACCCTGCAAGGCGTAATGAGACACGTAGCAGGTGCGTGCGAGCAATAATTTGTTACAACTCAACTTGTGACTAAGCTAGCTGGAACATAACTTAGAGGAAAAAACCTAGAGGCCTAAGCATCACCAGAAGGAGGGGGATCAACAACAAATGCAATACGAATTGAATAGTGTGTACCAGTGAATGGTGTTTTTAATGGCTAGTACAAAGTTGTGTTTGCATACTAAATTTAGTATTAAAACAACTAAAAAAGCATCAGGAACAAATAAACAGTATCTTCATCACGGAGTCATTTAGAGAGTGCTAACAAACACGGTGTAGCCAGTAAACTCTGGCATCTTGGGCACTGTAGCATACTGCAATAAGAGAAAACAGATATTCACACCACCCTCAAGGTGATGAAATATATTGCATTTTTGCACCAATTTTGTCTTTGTTTTGGTGCAGTTGACAGTTCCAATCTATTTCAAGCTATCAGAAAAATGCTCCTTTTTATGGATAATGGCCATTTAGTGGGAACAGCAATTAAAATAATGCACAATTTGGTTCTAAACTAAAAATTTTTTAATGTTCTCACACCACTTATAAAAATAAATGAGCAATACTTGAGAGTACTAGCCTGTTCTGCATCCTTTATCTATGTTTAACAACTGTCAACAGAGTTGTGGGTGCAGAAAGGGAGGAAAGAAATAAGAATAAAGTGTCTTTAAAAGTGTCCACGTTCTTCGTGAAATTTTTGTGCTTTAAGTAAGACTGAACTTAGACACAGGGCTAAGACTACAAAATGCTAAACAAAGCACTTTTTCAGATATGTGAAAAAAAACGTTACTGAGCTCCAAATATTTGACAGTGACAAGTCACTGTTCATGTTGCATCCTTCAGGGCGTGACTCATCAGAGCAAAGAAAACAGATCTCGAAGGCCATGCTTTTGCATGCTGCAGTACTAGACGTACACTCAAACCTCGATATAATGAAATTTAAATTTCAGAGAAGAAAATGAAAAATAGTCTTTTAATAGATACAGTGTTAGGAATAACCTTTATAATGAATTTTTGGATATAATGAACTTATTTTCTTGTAGAAAGCGACTTTCTTAAACGAGGTTTGAGCGCAACTCCAAATTCTAGAAACAGGTCAGGGACGTCATACTTGGCACATCAGCGGCAAACGCGTCTCACTTTTATTCCCGTATGCCTTAGCTTAGTTATTGATGCCTGAATTAGTTCTTAATGACTAACCCAAAAACCACACTAACAGAATTGATTTACGTAACTGTGTGCCTAAGTAAATATGGTAGGCTTCACACAGTAGGCTTCATTGAAATTCGCACACTTCTCGTCTTTCAGTGCATATTTCATTTTAATTATGCACATTCATCAACAACAGTTCATTACAAGATTCATCAACAGTTATTCAGCCTACATTAGATTACCAGAGGTATTTTTCTTTTATATATTTCTGGCTAGTAAACTGGTTTTCTAGACACGGACCAGACCAGCAAGACCCTATGCAGTTCCAGTAAGCTTTCCCCAAGATCCTTTGCATTAAAAAGTTTTTGTATACCTTATGCACGAAAGGCCTACACTCGTGGACAACTCTTCCTGACAATGAAGGGAAGGCTACACAGCCAAGTCATGCATATCCTTCCGCTAAAAAAGTAGTTCCACTATCCCATCCATATTTTCTGTGTACCATATAAAAAATGCTACCTTCTTTTCTAGATGCAGATCTTTGAAACAAAAAACAGCACACACCAGTGAGATATCAGTGTTTTTTTTGCTTTATACGTGGCCACTTTGCATAGAGTGCGTGAGAAAGTCAAGCCTTTTACCTGTACCTTAAATACTGGTTGATATGCAACACTGATTGCACGCAGCTGATTTGGTCCCCCTTTCGACAGTAGCGCCAAATGCACACCATACCAGGCTACTTCGCATGAAAGCACACTGTGTATAAGCGCTGTATATTTAGCTTTCCTAATACTGCCAATTAATGTTGTGCCCAACCCAAGTATAGCTTTCAACACTATGCATGTGGAATACCCATCTCTTACCACATATTTCTTGATGCCCAGTGACTGCGTGTCGGTCTGCTTTATTTCGAGCTCCACGGTGTTGCGCTTCCGGTTGAAGACGAACGTGCCGTGGAAACTTGGCGTGACCACCTTGGCGTCTGTGTCCGACAGCGAAGTCAAGTCTAAACCGACTGGACTTACGCATAGTTGAATGTTCCTACAACAAATGCATTGACAGTGAAATGATGGCTGTTAAAAGCAATGAATTCCTCAGGTGCCAGCTATATCACAGAAGTTGTGACGCGATACCTGCAGTACAAAGATGTGATCTACATTACAAGGTATGTTTCGAAGGTTCGGTGCATACTGCTTTTTCTATGAAAATGTCTGATGGTACGTATGTGCAAACAACAACAGTTCTGTACTTAAAAACAGAACAGAGATGCTGCTTAAAACATCACAGTAAAGTCAGGCCTTGACAAAATAAATATGGATATACAGAACATAGGTGACACTCTCGCCATTGACCCAGAGCTAAGAATATATGTTCATATTGAATTTTTAGATATAACAAGCATTTTTTCATGTCAGATCCAACTTGTAATAAAGTTCGGCTGCATGCACAAAAGGCGCTTGAAATAAGTTGACAATGTAGAGGGTCAACCAGACACTTGAGATTCGTTTGCGAGTGAGTAGATGTGAAGTTATAATTCCCCAAGCATGAACAACCAAAAGCCAACTGCATCTGACAGCGTTATGCTGCCTGCCTACTTGCCTCTGCACTTGCAACTAACCGTTGGGTAAGTTGAAGCATGCTTAAATTGTGCCGCACACGAGCGACATTGATTTTTAATAAAGGATACACCCACTGCTCCAAGAAGGTCTTGATATCCTTTCCAGTCACTATGAATATTGCCTTCTGGAACTGCAAAGATAACTAAGGCAACATGCCGATGTAAGAAGATGAACCCATTATTCTTCCTCCTCAAAAAAAAAAAAAAAAACAATCACACGCTGCAAACATATAACACAACAGAAATGCAAGATAACATTACAGCAAAACCAATGCACTCATAGCACTGTAAGCTATATTTGTAGATCTCAGATCACTTCTAATTTTAAAAGTAAACAAATTACACTGCACAGTCATCACATCCTGACTGCTAATCATGTGCCAATTATTTTTTCTTCTCTTCTGTTTCTCCTTTTTTCGGTTTTTGAAAATACTAACGATCTCGAGAGAGTATTACATCTAAAGATGCAATACTGCTCTGTAACATTTACTAAATGAATTTTATTTAGTTGGCCAGCCGATAAAAATTTCACTGCTCTTATGATGGGTAATTAATGATTGTGTGGTATATATAAAGAATAAACTTAACCGACATAAATTGAACATTTTGAAAGCTTTCAGTTCAATGTTTAAGGAAGACTGAAATGAAGCAATGACTTGGTTTAGATCGAAAATATGTACTCTGAGAACTCTGATGTCACAAGTTTCACTATCATAAGTTCATTGTTAGCGGGGAAAATCAAGGTTGTAGTAACCGTGTTAAATTTCACCCCGAAATCTCCGCGCACGACGTAACGAATTTCGCAATGTATCTTTTGTATTTCCGCGACATGGGCTCAATGAAATTTGCCGAGACTTTCTACATTATGTCTACGGCACCTACAGATGACAACATACTTCATTTTTGCTGGTTATAAACTACAGAGGACTCAGTAGGCACCGTCAAAATGTGTGACACTACGGCGTGTGGTATTGGAATGTCAAGGTGGCATATTTGCCCTAATTCTCTTTTTGTGCGTTTTTCTCGTATTCTATTTTTGCGCATTTTCCTCGCTTAGCAAGTGTAGTCTCGAGGTAAGAGCGATGTTTTCGGAACTGTGAAATTGCAATTAACTGATACGCAAAAATCGTTTTCCTCTTTAGCGTGCCTTTAACGTACTACTGTTACCATTACCTTCAGCTGTTTCAACCTAAAATGCCATAAATGTAGCCATAAAATAAAAAACAAACACAGAAGACCATAACAGAACGTGCCACACAAAGGTGAGTACTCACGCTGTTAGTTGATAGGAGCATGTTGTGCCACATGTTGGAAGTGACTTTCTGCTGAGCTGCAGAACTTGCGAGCGAGAGAAGTTTGTTGAATACCTGCAACGGTAATGACAGGTGCACTGTAAGCCTAAACAATGTGACACTTCACTGAATAATTGTATCACAACTGATACTGTTTTGTTGTACTACATCAACAGAATAATTAGATAAAACGAAGTAAACTTCAAACTTCACTTGCTACATGTTATATTAAAGCGTTTATAACAGCAGCAACATAATTAAAATTGTGAAATCCGACATAACACTCGTAACAGCCGAGCAAATATTTGCACACTTGTGACTCAAAATGTTATTCTGAAAAAAAAAAAAACTATGTTGACTTCCCAGCATAGAAAACGCGAAATAACCACATTTTGTGGGTTCTGACCTGATGAAGTGCACATTTTGAATACATGCACACATTTCGGTGAGCACACTGGCTTGGCTTGGTTCGGCTGTAGGTAGCCAGTCTGCGTGCTCATTTATAATAATTGCACTAACTGCAACATCACTAATGACATCCTATTGTATACACTTATCAAGATTGAGCTATGCAAAAACGAATTTTGGCACAACGAGAGACTGTTGAGCAGGAAATGTTGAGACCAACATTTCGCCACTGGGGCTAGTCGTCATCCAGGCTATAGGTTTTGACATATCACGTGAATGTGCGTCAAACTGCCTTCCCACAATGCAATAGCCCTGTGGAGCGCCTTCATGTATGACTCACGTGTAAAGCCACTATTAACAGGAATATTGGTGTTCCTTATCATAGAAATGGCATGCACCAGTAAGCGTTTAAAGCCCACATCAGCAATGTTCCCCCAATTCCTACGCATCCCATGATGTGAAATTTCAGTGCTCATGCGACTGTTCCAAGACGTTTCATAATTTCGCAGGTTTCAAGGCACGAAGCCAGAGTACGGCATTACACAATGCTACGATCAAAGCTGATTTTATGAGGTGCTGGCTCTGCGACATTCCACGATGCGGCTGTTGGAGTAAGCGCACCAGAAGCAGTCTACACTTTTGTTACCTGCAAAAGCAGCTCCCTTCCGATGCGGTCTTCGAGCATGCGAATGACGAGGTGGGACTTGGCACGCAACATCTCAGCGTACTTTGGTGACATTGTGTGCAAGTTGGTGACTGGAAAGTGAAAGGGCACGTCGCAACCACTCGGGTCCAGTATGATGCCGCCCGCTTCCTGTTCGTAGGCTGTCACTTCTTTCAGTTGCTGAGACAAACAAACAGACGACCAAAGGAAGAAAAAGAACATCAACATCACCACTGCTTATTTGCAGGGAAAAAATACAGTATTTTCCTGTGAAAGGCAAAGATTAAAGGCTAGAAGTCTGATGAGCTCTTCACCTCCTATTAACTAACTAATTTAGTCTGCATCAGTGCCATAGTATATAGTACATTTACACATCAGTAACATACATATATACACACCGGTTATGTATCGATTACTATTAGTTACACATATACGCATCAGTTACATACACTCACACGCATCGGTACACGCATGATTGTGTACTAGAATGCTTTCATGACCAAAGATATCTTACGCACATAGCTAACCTGCTCAAGAGATAAAATGAGTGGGAAGTATTGTATTACACATGCATACATTTATTTATTTTTAAATTATACATCCCAAAGCAATGATTGGTCCAAGAGGAAGCACCACATTAGATCAGTCCAGATTAGCCTTGCTCATCAGGGGTATTCCAGGACCCAATGAAGGCATGATGAGTGAATGTTAATAGATTCATTTTGAAACAGACTTCCTGGCAACCATCAGTGCTAGGCAGGGTAGTAGTTGCAGTGCTGACTGTCAAGGGTTTCGGATGCACTTAGAAACACTTGGTGATTATTTACATGCCCATTTATTTAAAAACAGAGACACAGCTTTGTAACTCGACGAGTGGCTGGTGTCAGCGTCGATCCTGATTGAATGTTTTGATCGTAATCGAGGTTCAATCACAGCAAAAACTGCCCACGTGGCACTGAGTTTAGGCCCCAACTCACCTTGTGAACTGAGAATCTGTACTCATTGTTCCCAAATGCCTTCTTGTTGTACTGGCCGGCAAGGTACGCTGAAATCCCCTTGGGCAGCCATGAGTCGGCCCTGCAGAAAGGACGCTTCAAATCTCAGCAAGAGCCCAGTGGTTGCTATCCCGAGCAGTCATCTTTTACAGCATTGGCATTTCTGGCCAATGAGAGGGTGCTTGACTACCCTTTCAGCCAGTCAGAGTAAACGAGATGATGTCAGCAATGCGAAGGAAGTTTACCGTGCACAGAGTGGTACCACAAACGTGCAACACTATAACACCGTGTCAGCAACAAAGAAAGGTAGATGAATGCAAGAAGATTGCACAATGAAGGATGGAACCTTTCTAGGCTAGCTTCAGCTGTTGAGGCAAACGTAAGAAAGTGACAAAATATTTTATGCGTATGCAGTGCCTGCAAGTGTACAGACACTTACAGGAGTGTAGTTGTTGTCTATGGGTGTACATGCTTCAAAGCTGTAGCTCAAAAAACACAAAGCCACGAAAATTCATGCGCAATGCCATTCTGTTCTGCTTCCATTTTTTGTTCAAAGCACTTGTATGGCGTTTCACTTGAGATCGTCTTGAACTGCTATAGAGGCACGCTTGCAAAACTTACTAGAACTTACACGTTTCAAACCACGCTACGGGGATTGTTGCCATAACGTTCAAGAAACACCCACAACAAGAAAGCAACATTCGCAGCGTTGTGGCAAAGTCACATCAACAAGCGGTGCACCTAAGAATGCATTTTGGGAATGTGTGCACTGCACATAATTTGTGCTGAGCCAACACTACCTTCAATGTCATTCAACTTCAAACTCAGCAATAACTAGTGAATAATCAAAATTTCAATTGGTGAACCTTCTAAATTACCTTGTTTCACGCTGAAATTTATCAAGTACATAATTTCTGCCTCTTTCGTAAATCCACCTAATGATGCAGATGAGCGTCTAACCATCTTGGCAGCTTTTTTACTAAATCTGTTCGAACAAAATTAAACAGGTGTTACGCAATGACGACTGACGTGAGTTCTTCAATTAAACACCAACTGCAAGTGAGACACCCGTTAAGTGCCTGCTGTGTGCTCAGGGCCTGTGGCCAGATAGCCGCCTCACTAATTCACAGTTTCATTTAGGTAATCTGCGCAAGATGTAGAGTTAGCTGCCAATGTTTATACAAACCACTAGGTCTGATAAGACTTTAAATTTACCAGCAATTCGTGACTATTTAGTTGAACTGCACAGCATGTGTTGTTAGCATGTCCTATATCCAGTCGAAATCTCAATTCGCAGGTTGCCTGCCCAGGAGCAAGAATATTCGGCTTTTACTTGGGTCACATTGTCAATAAACTTTGACATCAACTGTACAAACTTGGTCAATGCATCCTGCTCAATGCAGGCTGCATTAACAGTCGATAGACGCTGCGAGTTAGCAAAGAACACCCCCATTATTCTTTAGCATTTGGCACTTGTATTATGCACAAAATATCAAGCGCTTTGAAACGATGTCAAATGCTCACCATGTGTGCATCGCAATGAAGCAGCCAAAGAATTGCTCAGCCACTGCCTTGGCCATGATCTTGCGCGAAAGGTATGCTTCATCAATGATGTGCTTTGAATGCAGAAGGTTGACGCTGTTGAAAGACAAGGGGAAAGCGGAAATCGTAACAATTAAAGAACTGCAAACAGTGGCTAGGCACAGATCTAGTTCCTTACGTTCCAAACTAATGATGGCTGCACAAAAACACAGAACAAATGGGTCACGAGCCAAGAAATCAGGAAGGGGTCAATTCTCAGTTCTCAAACACTTTGAGCGAAACAAATTTGTTATCTAACTAGGAATAGTGGTTTTAAAACTTGCCTCTCAACGGGAGACTCAATTCGTGAAGGTTCAAGCAACTTAAGACCAGCGACAGTTTTGTTGACATCTTATTTTACACGATGTAAATGTATTTGCTCTTTGTTTTTGTTTTCATAATGGCATAATAAAGAAATTTAAAAAGTACCAAAGCCATCATTTCTCTTTTGTGAACCACGAGGAAACATTACACGAGTAATTGAACAGAAAATTGGGCTAGTTGGTTTACACTAAGCGTGATCTTAAAACAGCATCGAAAGCATAAAGTTTGTACCTTTTCTACCTTGTTCATTTTTTTCGTTCAGTTCAATTGTGCCACTTAAGGCGACGCCTAGAGCCCATGCAAATGCAGCCTTGCGTTTACCTCAGGATGGTGAGTGTTGCGTACGGGTCAGCATCGACGTAGGCTTCGGCGACAAACACCTGCTTGTAGCAGGAGTACGGATACCGACTCGACAGGAGTTCCTCATAGAACTCAAAGGCCTGAAAGAGACCAAATTTGTAGAATGATCACACATTACCATATTTACCATGCTACCAGAGTATCTTTTTGTACTGAAAGGTTTCATACCCATGTCACATCGAGACTGGGTAAGAGGTTTAGCTGAAAGAGCAGTGCTGCCTTTTCAGTGCAGCATTTAGTATGGAATTGATGCCAGTGAACCAGGATGCAGATGTACCACATGTGGCATGATAAAATGAAGCTTCTTCATTAATGCAGAAGAAGCCGGCTTGCCAGCCTGACTACTGCAGCATGTGGATAGCATGAAAAATTGGATGTGTGCGGAGTATGTAAAAATGTATAGGCTACACAAACCCCCTGATGCACAACATTACAGAATTTTCTTCGATTTACAAAAGTGTTTCTAATTATGAGCCCCTTTACTCCCAAACAATCGCAGCCACACAAGTCGGCGAGCGTTGGTCACAAGGAATCACTATCACTCGTGACCAAGACACAATACATTAGATGACCAAATGACTGACGTGCATGAGTAAAAGAAGAAATATTTTGACTTAACCTGGAATCCATGTGCCGCATATGTAACTTGAAAAGTGTATTTGAGCACTGATAGCACTGCCTCTGGGATCAGTTCATGCCACAATGTGTCATGACATCACAAATTCCGGTAATGTGTGATGTCAGAATGGCGTTATGTGACACTGAGATAATGCAATTTTCAGTAAGACACACACACAGTGCACACTTGAGTATCATGTGGCTGTTGACCAACTTTTATTACTTGCGCATGTTTGCATCATTTGTGCTCATGATGCTGCCGACCAGTTCTCGCAATGTATTATCAGGTATCGTCAAATCTAAAAAAAATTTCTTGACTCATGACTAAATGTGTAAACTTAAGGGCTCGTTTGTTCTTTATTAGACACATTATTAACGAGAACTAACAGACAATGAGTGTTCCACACTCGCCCGCAATGTCAGCAGGCGGTCCTGATTGGCGCTTCCATGTTAAATGCACACAGTATTAGTACCCTATAAAGCGGACAGGAGAATGATTGCCACCACAGCTCAGTGACAGAGCATCAGACATGTTATTCGAAAATAGCATGTGGCAAGTTATCTTTTCATCCACTCATGTTTCTTTAGTTTGCGTTACAAGTTCTTCTAATAACATCCTCTATACTTCTCTTGGCATCACTGTCTGTTAGTTCTCATCATAGACCAGCGAACTCACTCATGAATCGACTCATCACTCAGGCTCAGATCATGTCGTGAGTGAGTCCGGGTGAGGAATATTTTGGCGAGTTTGAGTTCGTGTTAGTCCGGTTGGAGAAAATTTTAGTGAGCGCGAGTTCAACCCGGAAAAATTTCGATGAGTTCGAGTGAGTCTAAAGCGCAAGATATAGTTCTTAAGTGAGTTCGGCTTATGGTTCTCATTGATATCTTGACTCGGAAGACATACAAGGCCTTCACCTCAGTGAAGCATAGTACTTGCCTCATGAAGGAAGTTGGTGCACTGCTTCAGGAGGGGCAGTAGGTGCGGGAGGCAGAAATGCGTCACCTCGTGCATCTGAGGGTCTACAAAGATCTCGAAGGGCCTTGGGAAAGGGAAACGGAAGGCCGAGTGAAACGTTCTGCCTATCACTGATGTTTGCAAAAGAATACAACGCACTCATGCGCTTCCTTACTACAGTAGGTTGCCACCCGATAAAAAACGTAAGACCCATCGACCAAACTATGGCGCGCCGGCTTTCCACCCATCAAAAACAGTTGTGCTAACCAGTTTCTGCTTGAACAGTAAGTGCTCTTTCTTGACAAATGTAATTACCGCACATATTAATGTTAAAGGTTAATCTTTACTACCTAAAACATTACATCTGGCTGAGTAGCAACATCTACATCACCGGCAAATTCACCTGAATATTCAAGTTTCCGGCCTAAAACCAGTGACACAAATGTGTGTCTGCATGCAAATGTCAACCATCTGCAACACTCGACATGTGCTTGATGTTATGAGAATGCGTAAGCACTATTGGGCGGAGCATTTACGTAGATTCTCTGTGGGAAGGACAGTGGCGCTGTAGCCGGAGCCGACCTTTTTTTATATTATAACTGACTATAGGCATCAGACACACACTCACTAGTTTTTCTTGTAAATATACCAAAGTGTCGAAGGAAGATCAGGCTACCAATCGTTTAAATGATTATGGGATTGCCGATTGGCCAGTGAGTGAGCTTACTGGGCTCATGAAAAAACTCAAGCACTTCGAATGTTAGAACGAATATTGATGTATTCTAATTAACTTCGATTTGAGTTTAAATTACGGGAGATTTGAAAGTATTCGAAGTAAACGAAGAGGTGCCTACTGAACTGCATGTACCTCCCCTTGTAAAGATGGTTTCACTGTAGCGAAGGGAGTTATACTGTGCGCACACCTTTCCACCAAAAATCCGCACTCACTTCTGCCCCTGTGCAAGAAAGCCGATACCAAAGATGAGGTGAACAACCTCAGAGCCTCACCCTACAGCCAGTGCGATCTTGGGTGCCGAAGTCGGCGTGGTGAGGCTGTAGTGGAACGTCTTCTTCCTCATGTCCGACGTGTAGACAGTCTCCACGAGGTCCCCGCACGACACGGCGATCATGTTGGAGTCCACCGTAAACTCCATCTTCCATGTGCAGGGGTCCGCGTATGAGTCTATGCATGGGAACCAAAGCCTGCAAGCAGCACGATATGTCACGGCTTTTAACCCTTTTGCTACCATAAAAAAAGAAGAAAGTTGTACCAAATACACCAAAACATTTTTTGCACTCATTTTGTAGATATTTGTTTCTGGATAAAATGCTACAATCTTTTTATTCCATGGGGGCTCCTTTGTTTTACTAATTGCATAAAAAATAAAACATGGAAGACGGCTTCAGTGCGTGGATTTACAATTAAAGATGGCTATCAAATGAATGCCTAGATAAAAATGGCGTAACATGGACAGGTGGGTTCATCTAGCATCAAGAAACACATCCAGATGAGTATAGTTGTTGTTGGTTTCACGAGGGACCAATTTTTTCCAATGAAAAGAACAGTCATCATGGGTCATTTCTGTGAAAAAATCTTATGACGACTATACTCACCAACTGAAACAAAAGGATTAAGTTTATTAAGACATATTTTCTGACACAATAGTCATCCGGGAAAAAAATCCGTGACTTCCAGATAGGTAAATTCAGTTTTCGTATTGCAGACACTCGCAAGCATGCACAGAGCAACAGCATCTGACTGCTCCCCGTGTACGCACAACATGAGGGAAGATCGGCAGTTGTTGCTAAGAGAACTCACCTTTGTCCTGCACCCTAATTCTTACTGTCTGTCCCCCAAACCAAATGACTTTTGCAATATAGTACTGTCTGTCCCATTGCCATCATTCCGAGTACAATGCTTTATAAAAAGAATTTACCTGTCTAAAAGAGACTGTTGTCAGTTGTTAAATCTCTCTGATCATGCTTTCCCATTCTGCATTTCCCCAAGAAACGTTCTGGCGGGAGTTCTAGCATAACATTCAGTGACAAGAAGTAAAAAACCTACCTTGAAGAGTTCTCGTGGCCAGTAGGTGAAGACGTGAACGCCACGCTGTAAGAAACGTCACAAGAACGTGTAGGAAATTTCGATAAAGTTACTGTTCTCCATCACTCGGGCCAAAGTGTAGCAGAAAGCGTACAGGTACAGCTTACGTGTATATGCGAATTGATGCATTCATATTTCATTGATGCCCCCTTAATATATGTGTCCCGTTTCATATACCAGCCAATAAACTATTGTTGATATGCCACCCCTACTGTGCCCTTGCAAAGCATGCTCCAGAAATCCTGCGACAACATTGCTATTTACATGCATAGCTGTCACGAGTCTAGTGGTCTTTCATGTGTCCATTTTTTAGCACTAAAATCGAGATGTCGTCAAGTGTTCACCAGCTTGCCCAGCTGTAACAAGGTCTTCAGTTCAGTAGCTATGGCATTTTTTTGCTGGTTGAGAAGTTCAATTTCTGGTTGCACAAAGCTTCTTTCCGTCATTAGGCTTTATGTTGCTTTAGGAGATGACATCTATTAATATGACCTGATCTTACAGGGAGGGCGAGTGATCACAGCCTACTGTGCTGCTATACACTCAAACTTCGTCATAACAAAGTTGCATCTTACACAAAAATAAGTTCATTATATCCGAAAATTTGTTATTAAGGTATATCATTAACACTACGTCTATTAAGAGACTATTTTTATATTACTTTGTGTTAAGCAATATTTTGTTATATCCAGGTTCATTATACCCAGATTTGAGTGTACAAGACCTGCGCTTCCTTACAAATCAAGAACTCGTTCATGCTGGCGATTGACAGGTATTCTGTGGCTGATCTGATTGTGAATCATGACTGGGAAGCTAGTCACAAAAATCAATGATGGCCTGTATAACTACAATTTTACATTGAGCAACATCCTATGAACGGATTGGCAAGCACACTCCAGCCCAACTATAAGTGGGTTGTGCAGGTGTTGTATAAAAATATGCCCACTCATTCTCACAATAAAAAAAAGGACCTCTTTCAGTGCCAGTGTCTCTCTTAAAAACTATGTTGTGCAACAAGCAGGCACAAAATATGCAATGTAGTTCTGAGTTGAATGTTTGCAGGTAATTGTTATGTCACAATGTGCACAGCGTCATTCAAACGTAACTCTGTTCTTTCAAAGGATAAACTGTGCCTGAAAATGCAGAAGCTCCATACTGTAGAAAAGTGTAGCCAGCAGAAGTGCATACTTCACAAGCACAGAACTATTTTTTTCACTAGGAACGAGCGACCATCATTGCTGACATTTTATGAATACTAATACTGACAGTTCAAAAATTTCTCAAAAAAGTTATTTAACTAGTTGGTCAGAATTGTAGACAAAAACATAAAAAGGGTATTTAAAAGAAGCATGGTTACCTCCGCAAGAGATCCCTCACATTCAGGTACCACGAAATGTATGCCACCCTGTGGCTTCTCCAAGGAGAATTCGACGCTGACTCGAAAGGCTTTGCCCTCTGCAGAGATGATATAGAGTATTATCACACCTCGCACACAATATAAGGGCCACGACATATGTTCCAAAATTAAAGCACTTACCTTGGATGAGGTGGGAGGCTTCCGAGGGTATTCTCACCGAGATTTCGCCGTTTCCATAGCCCGGGTCGACAGATTTCACTGCTGCCATGTGGGCAGCCGAGAAGGTGTCGATGTTCCTCCTGTTCCACAGAATCACAACGAAAACGGCGTTGGACTAACTCGAGCGAATGCACAGCAACACGAAATTAGCAACGCAAGATGTTCAAGGCATACATCTACACGCTCACCCGTGCTCAATTCACAGGCTTAAGTGATGAAATGTGCGAATATAAATCTGTGTGGGTATTGGCAAATATGAGCATGGTGGTCATGAAAGTAAATGATTGTAAGTAAATATCAATAGGCATTAGAAGGAACTTGTGCGAGGGCTGTAGAGTGCTCAAACTGAGAAAGTGTTGGTAATAGAGATTCTTAATAGCTTTGCAGTGCAAGCACATCGGTGCTGAAAGAGAGGGGACACAATGAAAAAAATAAGGCACATGAGCACTGAGCATGTTCCTTCTTGCCTTCTTTTATTCGCTGTGTCATCCTTTTTTTTTTATTGAGCACTACATGTTTGCACTGCGAACTTTTGAAAATGTCTATTGCAAACTCCCCCACATAGCTGTTTTTTTTTTCAATGCATTGGTAATGGAGTAAGAATGACTGTACAGTTAATCTTCCGCAGACAGGAGCTCGAATACAGAGGCCACATGGTCAGTTATTATCAGGATCAGAACTACCCAGATCGGATTAGTTGATAGTGATCAACAATGGCCACAGCTACATAGTTCAAACTAATCCGGTGTCAATTTGGCATAGACGTTAACCAGATCACGATAGCCTTGATCTCGAATTGAAACTTATTCTAAATAAATGTGGCCATGCAGCAACAAATGATCCATATCGAGCCTAATCCATATCAACCCTAATCACGATCATTAGTGCTCGTCTGACCCAGCTACAGAGTAACATTGGAGAACGTTTGTCGATTCATATCCGGACGATTTCTTCCATAGAGTGCACTCGTTTCTACAAATAAGGGGGCATATACGCACAATTTGTTTTCTCCGGGGCATATGTCCAGCGTGGGGTCGTTGTACTGGAATGCACACTCGAACTGGTCGTTGATGCGGATCCGGTAGACACGTGCGTCGCAGTTAAGGTCAGCAAAGAGCTCTGATTTCATGTTTGAATGCAATGCGCTATCTATAAGCACTACATCAACATACAACACTGCATGTGCTGTGTATGAAGCTTGGCACTCACAAGTAAAATTAAACAGCTGGGGTCAGAATGTATGGACTGTGTAAAAACTAACACGAATTGCTGAGGTTTTAAGTCCCAGAATGACAGTATGTTTGTGGGAGATACCATAGTGAAGGGTTGAGAAAATTTCAAGGACCTGGGATTCTCCAACATGCAACTAAGCAAGTACTTGGGCCTCTGGCCTTTCGCCGTTATTGAAATGCTGCCGCCACGGCCAGGATTCGATCCTGGGACGTTCGCGTCTGCAGTAAACCACCTTAACTATAAGCCCAATGTGGCAAGTCGTTTTAAAACCCGAACAGCGAGATCGGGAAAACAGCAGTTGAAGAGGGTTGGTGCACAGATATGAGAGTTGCGTGGTCAATGTAAAAATTTCCATTCAATTCTCATTCGACGTGTTTCCTTTCAGCAAAAAGTAAACAGTTTTCCACCGCTTCAATTCTACATAGGATAAGACATCAAGTAATGACAGGACACGAACGAAATCAATCCACCAACAGCGAAGGATATGACTCTGCTTGCAGTTGATTCTGATCCATCTTAGTTCGGACTTGGTCGGGAACAGGGTCAACTCGACGAAACCCTGCGAAAGCAACGAAACAAAATGACATGCAGCGTTATAGACAAGCTTTACACATTCTTTTCGTCGACTACGACCACCGGTGAAGTGGCGAAATACAGGTATTTTAGTCGCAGCCTGTTTCAGAAAGGTGCTATCGGGACGCTTTGCCGAAGGCGATGCATCCAAAACTAGTTCCCCGATTTATGACAACTACGAACAACTTTGTCAACACGTGTCAAGAAACATCTGTCAACATACCACTTCTAAAAAATATTCATCGGTGCGGGAAAACTATTTGTAGAGCATCTACTAAAACAGAGCAATGTCAAGTTTCACTTACGATCAGCGATTGACGCTGGAAGTTTATGCTTGTGATGCAGAGCACCTGGTGGGACGTGAACACAGAAAAGATAAATGCGTCATTACACGTGAGCAAACACATAGATGCGGATAGGCAGTGGAACACAAGCTTTCCACAATTTCGAAATGCCGGAAACCCGGCTGACTGTACGCAAAGAAGGTACTCATAATTTGTAAAGTCGCTGATGTTCATGAGGTTTGTCGAGCTTCTTCATTTTGGGAGGCGTCAAGGTGAGTTAAATGATGGCTGCAACGCTGGTCGGTTATGGCTACGCAGAGCCACGGTTGAAATGCGCGAGAAAATTCGACATCGCTGCCAGTTCGCCACTGCACGCACTGAACCACAACGCTGCCATTTTAGAAAAACGCGTGATGTTTACACCGATCCGAAGAACCACGCGCGTCGAGCACGTAATCCTTCTCGGGCATAAATTCATTTTCCGCGCGTGAATCCATACCAGACTTTATGAAAAAAAAAAAGGCTGCAGCAAGGCGAACTTTGTTGTTAATTATAGCTCGAATGTTTATCTAAACATTGAAGCCATACAATGACAAGGAACACGAGCTTCAATCTCGTTGTGTGCCAAAGTTGGACATGACATCCACGAGATGACGGCTTGACGGTTCCACGAATGAGCTGTCGGTGTGAGCTAGAATGTAGGCATTCAATAAAAATCTTGTATAGGTAAATACTGCATGTAGTGTTTTCTTTCTTATTGGTACACAATGTCCCCATTATCGATTCCTTAGAGCTCCTGAAGAATAAGAACAGTGTGCACTCTCAGGCGCGGGCAGTTTAAACATCACAGCCTGCCATCATTTTTTTTTTTTTTTGAGATTGCAGTATACCGAAAACGATAGACGTTTTCACTGTTACCAACCTTCATTTAGGCGGGCCTAACATTCGTTAACAACGAGAAGATGTACTGACAATCGCTGCTGCTATGTGAGAGAAGAAAACGTGTCATTTTTCGAAGACGGCGTTTTTTTTTTTTTATTTAGCACGCGCCGTGGATGACATCGTCACACCACGCGCGTGCTGGAGGCTGGCATCCCGGCGCTGATTCTTCACCGTCGTTGAAAGCCATCTTACGGGGTGAAAGATTGGCTTTTGGCTTGATCCAGCGTCAAGATACGAAAATCGTCAATCGGTAAGCTGTCGTTTTCGACGATATAGTCGACGTACGCATGGACACGACGTTGCGACCGCAGAAGATGCAGCTGTTTGTAGCGCGATCAAACGTGTGATGTCCACTCAAGGACAAGGTGCTCAGATCGCAAGGACAAGAGCCCCTTCGCCTTTCGAAAACTTCCAGCACGTGGACTAAGCACTTTCAGCCTTTCTCTCAGATCTACATGTCTTGATGACTTGCATACATTTGGTCAGGCTAGATTTACGAGGTGAACTCGGGCAAGGGTGATGCTCGTTTGAGATACCGTACACACGACTGCCAGAACGATTTTCTGACTTTGTGTTCATTGCGTTTCACCTTGAAATGCCAACAGCAACAAAAGATCATGAACATCAATCAACAACGTGGTGTAGCGAGAAGGGTCTTTGCCTGCAAGAAGCGTGACTTGTATTCACAGAATATTGGCTGTGCTTTTTTTTTTCACATTTTGCCTTCAATTTTTTTTTCAATGCCCCTTAGTGGACCATGTAAACAGAACTGCAGTCTGCTGGTGTTTGTATGGCACCGAACACATGACCATGCACCGTACATTCCACAGAAGACTTGTTATGTCAGAGTTTTTTTTTTTTTTTTGAGGGGGTAATGGAGGAGTCTGAAGGGGTGATTTCTGGTAATCTCTGTTCGTGCATGTCTGTATCTGTACACGTATATTACAGGGAAAAAAATTGAGGGCGTAGAAATTAACCCCCCTCCCCTCCTCGTCCTATGGTACTGCGTTGCTCTTAGTGCCTGCCCTTCAGTGTTTCCGCTCTTTAACCATGTAAATAACTTGGTATGAATAGTTTACCGCAATTTACGTCGAATTGATGGGATACTCATCGTCAGAGATTTTTTTCGAAAATGCCGTGACGTATAGGAGGAGGCTTTTTGCACGACTCCCCAACTCATAGAACGTGGTAGTGAAGCTGTCTGTTTTACGGGCCTGTAATAACGCTGTATATTGAGTTTCTAACGCCGTCATAACGTTTCCATTGGAACGCCAAACAAAGTGGAAGTTCGCTTGCATATGACCCAATACGTGATGCCTCGTTCTTTGTCTGTGCAGGGCAGGCCCATGGTGCCGCCTACGATATGGATTTCTTCGAAGATGACAGCTATCTCGATTTTCTAGGGGATGAGTTTCACCAACCTAGTGATAGTTTGCACGTGACGTAAACTCACCTTTTCACCATTGCGGCACTCTTACAGGGCTGCTTTGGTGACGTCAAAGCCGCATAATGACGCGGTCATGGATTTGCTCCGTTGTGATAACCACGTCACTGGAGCATTACTGGCGTCTGATAACAAAAGAGCCTGCTTGCGATATACTGATGTTTACGATATACTGATGCTTGCGATATACTGTGACGTCACGTTAACGTGACATCACAAACTTCGCGTCTCACCACGTTGGTGCTTTAACGTGACGATTTCAGTGATGTCTGTGCGATATAAACTTTTGTTTTATCTTCCAGGTGGCGGCTGGCGAAGAAGGGGGGGGGGGGGGGAATTCTCAGAAGCGTGCTGAGAAGAAAGAAGCTCCCGGAAAGTCAACTTGACCACACCGGAGGCATGGAGGCGTTGACCGCCAACCTCTCGCACTCTCCACGGACTGGCTTTTTTTTTTTTTTGTATCGCGCGTCGGAGTGCTCAGATTGTGGCGCGTGTGATAATGCCGTATATTGACTATTGTGCGCCCATTCAGAGTTATATTTTGTGAATGCTGTAACGAACCTTAGTGCAGTGGTCTTATCTGTGTGTGTTGCAAGTGCTGTCTTTCTCCCGACGTCTTCGCATAACGCACATTTGAGCAAACTAACGTGGGACAGTATTAGAAATTTTGTCCAATATGTGCATTGTATTGCTATACACTGGAAGCGTTCATTATCCCACTTATTCGCTAGTGCGCTTAGTAAGATTACTCGCTATCTTACCAACACGCCCCATCTCAGCTCTGAAACTACCTTACACCTCTCCACGATTGAGAAATGCATTACCCCATCCACTCATCACTACACGTGCTAGCGGACTCACTGACGTCACTGACGCACTTACTCAGCACTCGCACGTTCACTAAGACGGACTCCTTCGTTATACTGGGTGTAAGCCCTCACATTGCAACTCGACACTCGCACCACGTAAGAGCTCACTTACCATTTCACTAACTAAGCGCTCGCTCACTCTTTCACTTGCTCGCTCACTGATGCCAATTCACTAACAAAGCACTGATTCACTCAGTTACCCATTAGCTTACTAGGCACTCAATCATATACATGTTGTCTAAAAGCACTTACTCATTCCCTCGCTCACTTACCTGTTCACTAACTAAGCGTTGATTCATCCATTCGCTTACTAAGCACTCGCTCACTCATTTGTTCATTCATTCATTCATTCATTCATTCATTCATTCATCCATTCATTCCATAACTAGGCACTCGCACTCACCCACACACTGATTCCACAACTGAGCGCCCATCTCATTCACTTCACACACTGATTCCCTAACTAAGCATAACTAAGCACTCACTCTTCTTCTCTCTCCTTGTGTCGGTACAGCCGGGTACACACGTCACTACTTCTCGCCGAGCGAGTCCCTCGAGTTCCTGACCAGCCCTGTTGACTACCCCTTGCCCCCGTACGAGGATGTGATGCGGGCGGTAGCGCAGGGGACTCCCACACCGTACGCAACCCGCGGTCCCGACCAGCTGCGTTGCCAGCAGTGCAGTCAGGTGTGTTGTGCTGTACTTGTTGAACGTAACTTTAGCGGTCCAGATGTAAGTGTACTAGTAAAAGGCTTGAAGGAAAGGAAAAAAAAAAAACACGCCAGGCCCAGCGTGGAAGGCGCAACACAGTCACAACGAAAGGTAGAAGAGCGGCCTTTCAGAGCCTTTTCAAAACACTCGTTGGGTAAATGCTCCAAGCACACTTGCTGGGTACCCACAACGCCATAATTAATCATGATTTTCGTGTAGCAGGCCGGCATTCACTATGCTATCCTTCGTTATGCTTCAGAGAAGCGTGGTATGCGCTACACACTTGCAAGAAATTTTGTGCGAAATTTTCTGCAGGGGCTGAGAATGATAAATAGTTATGCCTGAAGTGGGTATGCGCCACAGTTAATAGGGGAATAAGAACAAGCTTTTGTAATGGGTTGGAGCATTAGGCGGCCCACTCGTTATGCCATTCGCACTGTGCGACGACTGGTTGTTCTTTCGCTGTTTTAAAACACTTTCCGACATCAAGCCTGCCTAAGGCAAGTTCGCCAACAAGTCCCAAGCACCGGCGTGGCTCAGTGGTAGAAAACTGGGCTGGCACCCAGCGGACCTGGGTTCGGACCCACTGTGTCGTTGGTGCTAGTTTTTTTTTTCTAATTTCGCGCGATGTGGTTACGGACACCAGCGGTGGCGGCCGACAACTGCACGTGACCTGGGTTGTGATCCCAACAGCTTTCGCTGTAAAAGGAGCTAATTTCTGTCTGCCTAGTTGGCGACACGGCTAAGGTCCTTGTAGGGGAGGTGCCAAGGGGATGAAAATAATAGTATATAGAAAGAGAAAGAAATAGGAGACGGAGCACTCGTCACACATGGGTGAAGAAAGAGGAGAGAAGAAATAGGAAATATGGGGTATACGATCGAATAAATCCCAGGACGGGGTACCGATCAGCGAGAGCTACAGGGTGGCAGAAGATCCTGGATGGCGGGCCGATAGGCGAGAGCTACGATGGCGTCAGAGATCGCGGGTGACACAACCCTTTCCAAGAAAGCTACCACTCCCTCATCTACTGGCATTAAGAGTCTGAGACCGTAAGACTATACCCCACCTCGGCAGGGAAAACTTTGACCACGGCGTCGAGGGAAGAGCGGTGCGTCGCTCCGTGGCAGTTTGTGTTTGTGAAAGTGGCGTATGGTTACGTCGACAGGGTGGAATGGCCTGTGCATACCTGTGTGTTTTGAGAGACGTCCTGTAAAGAGAGCACATGCGTCGTACACACTGCGGTGTTTCTCATTCTCTCTTTGTCCTGTCAATGAGAATATAAATTTTTTTTTCAGTTCTAACCCCACTGTACAACGAAACTAATGGGGCGCAGAAAAAAAACTTCGTTGAATCGAGAAGTTCGTTGTACTGAAATTGAAAAGTATATATATATATAGCGGACCTCAGCTAAACCCGCCGCGGGGGTCTAGTGGCTAAGGTACTGGGCTGCTGACCCGCAGGTCGCGGGATCGAATCCCAGCGGCGGCGGCTGCATTTTCGATGGACTCGTAAATGCTGTAGGCCCGTGCGCACACATTTGGGTGCACGTTGAAGAACCCCAGGTGGTCGAAATTACCAGAGCCCTCCACTACGGCGTCCCTCATAATCATATGGTGGCTTTGGGACGTTAAACTCCACATATGAATCAATCAATAACCTCGGCTAGCATAAAAAAATGAACTTTTATTTCCAAAAATTGAAAAACCTATAGCATGCCTCATTCTCTTCCCCAAAAGCGTCATGACGCGATCATCACACATGCATAGCGACGCCATGTTGAAAAGCACGTTGAAACGATGACCACAGCAACTATCGTGAGTGAACCTAACAGTTGCACGCTAGCGCCCGCAGCTGTCCGCCGTGAAGAGATATTAGACAATTCCAAGATGGATGTATGGTATCGTGGAGCGGTGACTCATGTCTTATTCTACGTGATTCTCATCATCCACTCGTCGTGTATACTTGGTTTTGTTGATAACACGGACTAACAGCCGCTCTGTAGTGACCACACTGTCCAAGCGCGAAAAGAAACAAAAGCGTTGGTATCGGAAAAGACATTGTTCCGCGATTGAACTATGCAGTGCACCATAATTACACCCTGCAGCATGTGTGTACGAAACTCGGCGAATTGAGCGACTGAGCTTCAGCTTCGGACTGTCTGTGGCTGAGAAGTATTCAGAAGCAAGCCGGATTTCAGTGCTCTGTACCGGTGAAAAAAAGTCTAGGGCGCCCTAGCTATACACTAGTAGGGCAGTCTCATTGCCATCGCTATTGAGTGATGGCGGCCTTCATGCTTAGTAAACAGCTGCTGTAGAGTGCACCCTAGCTATACTCTATAGCTGCGGTTTCTGGTGGTGCCAATGAGCATCTTAGACTTTTTAGACGTATTTTCGTGATATGAAAATACATCAAAATGTTCAAGATTTTGTTTACTACGCAGAATTAAATACCCGAGTCGGGAATTGCGTCGTCAAATTTCGTTGAAGCGGAACGGCAGAAGAAATTTTTTCGTTATAGCGAGAATATTTATGCATTGACTCCTATATATGAACTGCTGGTGGAGAACCGAGAATTCTTTTGTTGCAGCGGAAATTTTGCTGAAGCGGCGTCCATTGTAGCGGGACTCGACTGTTGTGTTTTTTGTTCTTTTCAATCGTTCACAAGGTGTTCCAGTGCCGCCAGGACCTGTCGGCGCACCTGTGCTCGGAGCACCCCGCGCCCTCTAGCGCTGGCGGCAGCGGCGGGCGTCACTACGAGTGCAGCTTCTGTGGAGCCACGTTCGCTCAGCGGGGCCAACTGAGCAAGCACCGTCTCATCCACACGGGCGAGCGACCGTACGCCTGTCACATCTGCCAGCGCCGATTCACGCAGAAGACGCACATGGTCGAGCACGTTCGCATCCACACCGGGGAGCGACCGTACAGGTGAGTTTGTTAACATTATACAGTTATAGTTTACCGTTAGCGTGATAGCGGAGGTTAAGGGAATGACGTTACCATGCAGCAAACGTTCGTTTCTGACAGCGTCTTATAGTGTAGCGGGATAGCGTTTACGTGGTGTACGTGTCTTAGCTTTGATGGTGGCGCCACCTATGGGAGGGTCGAGAAGTAAGAACAGTGAAAAGGAAAAAGAAAACGAGAATGTCTGCCTGTGTCACCACACGAAGCATTGTTACAAGTTTATTTTAGTAACAATAAAAGTAAATACATATGAACCACGCACCAAACACGAAAACATTTATGTTGCCGATTTGTTTATATCGATCTTGTAGTTAGGCCTAGACACGTTCAAAATGACCAGCTATCTCAAAAACTACGCCAACTTATCTGCAATATTCGGTCGTTGAAGCTAATTGAAGGCAAGCGAAGCCTAAAACTGTCGTTTGCGGCGAACAAAGTGAATCTTTCAGCAACTACGTCAAAATCACTTCGAAGCGGGCGTCCGAGATGACTGCCATGTTTTACGTACACTACGTACACCTACGGGGGGGGGGGGGGCAAGATTTAACAGCACCCCTCCTTCCCTGCCTCTCTCCTTACCCTGGTTGGTCGGGTCCCAAAGTAAATAACCTTCGATATTAATGCGAAAAGCGACGACATCCTTTTCACAACGACCTGTCATTGGTCCCCGGCCTTCTAGGCATTTCTTTCAAGCAACATCACACGATTGCCGTTATCGTCACAAACCTGTGTCGAATGACGGGACAGGTCCAAATTGGTGAGAGTGTGGTATGGTTCAAACTTAAAAGCTTTTTTTTTATGTAGCGGCTGTGCTACGACCTTCGGATGATGCACCCAATTTTCTACGGATTGAGTTACAGTGGTGGCCGTCCACCCACCCACTTTACCGGGTATTTATCTGCATCTAAACCTGGGAGCGTTAGCCAGCGTCACTAGCTAACACTCCCAGGTTTACGTTAAGGTTGTGTCTAACAACAACAAAAAACGCGCCTTAGATCGATTCTCCCTTTATTAATTTGTCCCTTACAGATTCACTTGGAATTTTGAGTGCATATGTCACGTTATAAGTGTACCCTGCTGTACGTCCGCAGTATTCATACTGATCATCACTGCAGCCTTTGTAATATATTTTGTACTTACAATACTTGAAGCATCCTGCAGACACGCAATTCCGTGCTATTCAGTCATGCAGCATGCATGGACGACGACAGGATGTCATGGCGGGGGGGGGGGCGCTTTTAAATGCGAATGCATTTCTTAGTCGGACTATGTCAGGCATCTGGCGTTGTCCGTGGCGGTGTCCGCATGCCGACATGAGTTATCTCTCCGCTCTCACTCCCTCTCTCATAGTAACAGCTGCGGGCGCGTGTACTTAACCTCACCCCGAGCAACTGGAGCATGTGGTGCAAGAGAGTGTAGGAGAGGGTAGGTGCAGTGCTTCGCCGCTCCTTCTCTTGCCGTTCGCTCTCTCTCCTCCCTGCGCCCTACTTTCCGGGATTCGCTCGCAGGATTTCAAGCTGGACGGTTGTGCCCTCGCGATCTCTGGCATCAGCGCAGCTCCCGCCGACTGGTTCGCCCTCCGCGGTCTCCTGACGCCGTGCAGCTCTCGCATTGTGGCGCCCCGCCCTTGGACTGCTTCGACCGGATCCCCACTTTCCTATCTCCTTCTTTTTCCGCTGATTGCCTGTCTATTTCTTCATCTATTTTCCTTCTATTCTTTTTATCCCTCCTTCCCCCCACCCCTATAAGGCACTGCGCCGTGTCGCCTGAAGGCAGACAGAAATTAGGTGCCTTTTTCCTCTCCCTTCTAACCACTACCACCACCACCCTACTTTCCCGTCCTCTCGCGCCTCTCTAACGACCGTTCGCTGGCTGGGCACCTCTCAAGAACATCCGGCTATGTGTGCTCGAAATGCCACTGTGAAACGCCACCGTTGAGCCGAGAACGCTGTTTTGTTCACTTCATAGCATTTTTTAACCGTGCACGCTAGCTACTAGAGCTGCAAACGCACACCACGTTTCTTACGTTAGAAAAACGCCACGTGTGGCGAACGACGCTATTGGCTGCACAGTGTAAGGAAAAAAAAAAGAAAACATTGTTCTAACGCTGGGTTCCCACGTGCGAAATGCCGTTATGGACGCTGCTCAATGCATTCGCATTTTCTCACGGTTCTCTTCGGGTATGTGGGGCCATTTCTTGCTACGTGTGACCTCGAGTTTACTAGTAATCATAATGTACAACGGACACACAGAACCACACACCACAGGAGCTACCAGCAACATTAATGAAGAATCGAAGACACGCAGAATATATATGTTCCAAGCGCACGGACGCGTAAGTGACATCCGGCAGGCGACAGGGGGCACTACGCAAGATTACTATACTATTCAATACTAGATCAAACGCAGCTTCTCAACGGGAGCCGTCAGTCCGCCTTAGTTCGGGAAGTCGCCATGATGCGACGCCGCATGCGTCACACGTGCTTCCGAGAGTTTTCCCACGGAGATGCGATATACGTGTTTCCTTCTCCAATATCATACGTCTGTCAGATTTGTTCCTTCGTGCTCCTTTGTGGCTCGATGCAATGCCTCCGCCACCTCACAGTGTTTGTGATGCAGCAGCGTCACAGTGAAGCGTCCACATTGGTTGCCCGCATAGAGTCACGAACGGTGTCGCACTATCTCAAAACACCATGTCCCTTACGAGCCAGCGTGACTGCCAACAATGCAAACACTAAAAACACAACTGGACAAAAAATGAATATTATTTACGTCATGAGGCACCACATAATGGTATCTCTCTCCCATGACCGCAAAGCACACGTGAAGGCAAGGCGATGGGCGAGAGCAGGAAAAGGCTAGAGGAGAAGGTGGTGAATGGCTGGATTGTGTGCATCTGGCTCGCATTTCTAAAATCGAGGAGGTGCTGTTTGAGGCAAACAAGGCAACTGTAGCCCAAGAACAAGTCCTCCTGCAGAGCTTGAGCTTGGTACATACCCACAGTAAAAAAAATTGCGCCAGAACAACGAAGACGAGACAGATGAAACATGACTAGCGCTGGCTTTTGTTGCTTAGAGTGGTAGAAGGCGGGGGGGGGGGCACGAAGCAAGCGCTTTTTTTGCACCCTCGATAACGCACACAGTATTAGAAACACGATAAGCGGTAAGCTGATGTATAATCGGTAGTGCTCGCGAGGGATAGTGGCCCTCGACACGGCTACATAAATACTGTAGATGGCACCTTAACTATAACTGAACCCTTCTGACACACACAGCTTTATAAGTTATTCGAACTCACTGCTCGAGTAATGTATCATGCCGTTCTGACTATATTTGGCGACAGGTCTTTGCGTTATTACAACGGCATTATCATCGTACATATGGGTGATATGCATTGTCATCATGAGCTTACTTCAGGTAATCGACTTTCTCTGTGAGACAATAAGAGGGCAACGCAAGTTCCCGTACCCATTTTTTTCTAAGGGAAATAAATCATTAAAAGAACCAATAAAGAAATGATCGCTTAGTTGAAGGTGATGTGTCGAACGAACTAAAGCAACAGTCAAGGAACAGTCAAAAATAGGAACAGTCAAGGTTTCTTTTTCAGCGTCACATTAATGGTCTGACCGCAGGTGCGAAGAGTGTCAGGCAGCTTTCACCCAGAAGACTCACCTGGTGGGCCACCGACGAACGCACACTGGAGAGCGGCCCTTCAAGTGTTCGGAATGCGTCAAGGCCTTCTCGACCAGCAGCTCGCTGAGCAGGCACCGCTTCGTCGCCCATGCACTACAATCAACGGGCAGAGGAAGAAGAGAAGTGACCTTCCTCTGAGAAAGACGTTCCATCCTGTTGGTTCGAGCGGCGTGCACACCGATTGTAGCGCCACCTGTCCCCGACTGTTGACCTAACCACCAAGTAGTATGCGCGTTTTCATAGGTACCGCTTTTGGAGACCCGTGCAAGTTCAATAGGACGAAAAAGGTGGCTGCTTGACGTTGGACTTACAGCGTCGCTACAAGAGGTCGAGTGCAAGTAGTCAAGACCTCTACAAGTGGTCGAGGGATCATCTGAAAGATGTTTTTGTTTTGATTTGTTTTGTTCGCGGGTAAAGGTAATGCGAAGGTGCTCATTTGTTTAGGTGAAGGCAACCAAATTCTCAACGCAAAAGTGGCTGCGCTGGAATTCCAAGAGTTGCATGGATCGCCGATTCAATTGCAGCAACAGTCACATTGAAGCAGTGGCTGCGAAAAGTGGTTTTAGTAGTGTTTTCCTTTTTTTTCACGTTCCAAACCTTTTTTTGTGTGTTAACATTACGTAGTCACTCTTAAGACACAAACGACAACGACATCAACATTTGTCTGAGGTATGCGAAACGCGTGATATTTAAGACATGTCTTACGAGTGCCATGACCAGTGGATCTCACTACCTTAACTGTCACCGTGAAAAGCTATATACTTGGCTGTTATTTCTAACAGGTTCACTCAAACATTCGACCTTTTGGGATGTACAACACCGTGACACTGTCTGCACAGTGGATGCTTCACACAAGGGAAATATCTAAAGACTTGCTGGAAGCGTTCGGGATTCGCGTTGCGTCCACTGGGAACTGCAAATACTATAGGGACAAATGTGAGAAAATTCGTTCTGCCTTTCGCGTGGTCTCATGAATGTTAGATTGATCCGTACTTTCCCACAAATATATTGTCCCACGTGAATATTGGATAAGAGCTCTGCCGATGCCTTGGGTGAACAGTATCCAGTCGATATTAAAACTGAAGTCTTTTTCCCTTCAAAAGGAACAGGGAAAAATCTAGGTACGTTACTTGAAATGAGTGGCTTCAGCGTCGTAACTTGTCTGGACAGGCGTTCCACTACAGCTTTTGCTGATAAAGAAAGTTGCAAACCCACGACTACAGTGATTTAAAATTATATATGAAGTAGTATTGAAAATTGGGCAAGTTGGTAACAATTTTTAAGGTAAACAGCACGAAATACGGAGACAGAGAAGCTTGTCCTGCAGTGTCTTCCTACTTCTCTGTATTCATATTTCGCGCTGTTTACCTTAAAAGTATATATGAAGTATATAGTGAACACTATTCTGGTACACCATGCCCTCGACGTCATTCTCCACAATTCAGTCAACGACTTGGGTGATTACCCTCTATTCCTTGTAACATAGCAAGTGTGGAACTTCCTACACCCAAGATGTACCAAACAGTGCAACGCAGAAGACTGTCGGCAGGTAAATCTGATTAACGCTGCGATTTTCTCTGCCTGCTTGTACAACAACACTACATTTTTTTAAATATTTTCAAGTACGGCATACACCATCACTTGTAATGCAGGCACAGGAAGGTGAATACTGCTGGGGAGATTTCTGTGAATACTCGGGACACCTTTACAAAGTGTTGCTTCCTCGGACGACTGAAACCGTGCACCGTCACGGAACAGAGCAGCTGACATCAATCGACGTGGCTTAACCTGCAAGCTCTGTCTCAAGTTGTTGCCCTGAGCGAAAGCAGTATCGCAGTGGTTTTGACGATGCTGTTGTCTTGGAATAGCCTAACATCGATTAGCGGAAAGTATAAAGAGCCATGCTTGTTAAGTTCGCTGTCAAGTTAAAAAAGAAAACGTGTAAACTTGTGTGCAGTGTGTTCGTTACAATAAAAAAATGTTTAGTTTAATCCAATGGTCGAACTCCACGCGAGGTTCTCCAACTAGAGAAGAAAGAAAAAATGTAAAAAAAAAATATGCAGCACGGTCACCTTCCCTCCGCATGCTTCGCATAACGTCGATTCCCGGGTACGTGGGATCTGCCGAATACTTATAGGCAGGTGTGTGCGTTTTCCGGGGTGCAGGTGTTATGTTTCGGTTTAATTTTGTGGATCCGGCCGGATGCGGACAACAAGGCCCGTTAAAGCTTTCTGTTGGGCAAGTAGGTAGCGCGTCATATCGCAGTTTCTAGGGTTTACTACGTTGCGCTCTAATACTTACAATATAGCACGGCTCAGCTTTAAGGAGCTTCGCCACTGAAAGAAGAACATGGCTTTCGCCTTCGAGTCGCCTTAGTTCAACGCGGAAGAGATTGGGAGGGTTGTCCTGCCCAGTCGATTGCATTGCTTCAACACCCCTCCCCCTACGCGCGCTCCTCCAAACGCTTTTGTCATTTCAACGTGATTACGCACTGCCCCCGTGTTCGGAAACATTAGAAGCTTACTGCACCTCACGTGATTTCTCAATTCCTCCGTGATCGCCTCATTTCGAGCAAGCGACGATGCCATGCAATGACGTCATCATGAGCCGTCACAAATAATTGGCATCATGATGGCGTTATGCAATTTTAGCGAAGTCTGTCATCATATGGTGACGTGACCTCATAGTGATTCAATTTCGCAGCACTCGCGCTAACTACGACGCAACCGACACCCATAGTGATTTTCGCTTTCGATAAGGCCTTTAAGGCTCTCAATTAATTGAGATGACGTAACACTCGTTCGCATACAGCATTAAGCAGGACTCACCACCTGACAGAAAAATAGTTGCGCCTTTTCGTGTGAGCCGAGCCAGAGGGCCAGTGCCTGGGATACCAAAGAAACGTCCCCAGAAAAAGAAATGGCAGCATATCCACGGAGTGAATGATGGAGAGTGGGGCGAAGCATTCTTCCGTCCATGCGTCCGTCTGTGTGACCGTCCATGCGTCTCTTCGTGCGCCCGTCCCTGCGTTCGTTCATGCGTCCGCCCCTGCATCCGTTCATGCGTCCATCCATGCATCTGTCTGTGTGTCCGTTCGTCCATATATTCAACACTCCAAGTCCCACCATCTCACATCTTTTTATCATATATTCCCCATATAGAAGCACCGCCATTCAGTGAACAGTCCAAGGACTAAACGAGAGGTGGCACACACACACTTTCTTACGGCTTGCGCTTCGGGTCTACTTCCCACCTTTAACCACCTCGAGTTCATGGTATACACTAGTTCACTGTATTCACGGCACTGCGGCCCAATGCTCGTTAAACCTTTCTAAAACCAAGGAGGTTACGCCCAGCGAGTATAACGTAGCAACCTTTTCCTGCCAGATAGTGCTCAATGTACATGCCAGTGGCTGATAATGTGAAATGAGAGACAGGAGGATTCAGCTTTCAATTTCTTACGGCTTGCGCTTCGTATTTGCTTCCCCCCTTTAACCACCTCGAATTCATTCATGGTATATACTAGTTCATTGTATTCATGGCCCTGCGGCTCAACGCTCGCTAAACCTTTCTAAAACTAAGGAGGTTACACCCAGCGAGTATAATGTAGCAACCCTTTCTTGTCCGATAGTGCTCAATGTACATGAACCGAATGCCGCGTCCCTTAGTGGAGAACCTGAGAGGAGGGGGGAATCAAAAACTTTTCCCCCCGAAATCTTTGTTTATATATATATATATATATATATATATATATATATATATATATATATATATATATATATATGCACACATACAAATGCCCGCACGAACATACACAACGAATAGTTGACCCCCCCCCCCCCTTTTCCTAAAATTTTTTTGGTGAAACGCCGCATTAGGGTTCCCATTTTTCTATTCATTTAGTTTTATGCGCGCATTAGGTATATTCGTTTACCCTACTGAAAAAGTCGTTTGATAAACCAATCAAAGTTTTTAATTGTTTATTGAGTAGAAATTTACATTGATAAATGCGTTGATTTTAATCTTTCAGAATGAATATCTGACTACTCAATAAACATTTCCTCTTATAATCCGCGTTTCCATTTATTAAGTGGAGTATCTAATCTAACAATGACTTTTTCGTGCGCCGTCCTAATCTCGGCTGATTATCTTCAGACGGTACGTGGCCGAGCCTTCGAGATTAGCATCGCAGTCTACTATGTACTAACCAGCGTCTATCCTGTCTACGCGCTACATGACCGGCCTATGTCCATTTGCTCTTCCTGATTTCAACTATGATATCTTTAACCCCGGTTTGTTTCCTAATCCACTCTGCTCTCTTCTTGTCATTAAAGGGGGGGGGGGGGGGAGTGATTTTAAGTGAAAGTAAAAGTGAGCCCCGTAACTGTCTTTCAGGAGGAGGACACCTAAACAGTAGCTCACGAGGGATTGGGGTAGAGAAAGGAATAAAAAGATAGGATTAAAAGGTAGAGAGATAGAGAGAGAGGAAGGAGAGAGCGAACGACGGAAGTAAGAAGAAGACAGGAAAGATGGACACGGTTGCAGGAGTCCGAGGACGGGGCACCACTGGCGAGAGCTCTTGTCGGCGACAGGAGATGGCGTAGGGCTAATGCAGTCGGCCAGAGCTACGCTGTCGTCGTCGTAGGAGACCGGCGTCAGGAAGTGGCGTAGGACAAACCCAGTCTTCCAGAGCTGCACTGTCGTCGGAGATCGCGAGGGCATAACCAGTCGGCACGGATGAATGCGCTGTATGAGGTAAGCGCAGACTCGCAGCTTTTCTCCTCCTTTCCTCCTACACCGAAAACAAATGAGGAATGCCGTTAAGTGCCTCTGCTTTAACAGCCTTCTGTTGGCACCGTTACATTCTTGATGCATACGTTCCTGGCACTTCAGGACACGTGCCTTCATTCACGCCTTCAGAACATTTCTTTGGCCAGCGATCGTTTAGTGCGCATGATTTGGCTCTTAGACTAAGTTGCAGAAAAGTGTTTTTGACTAGAGCATTGACAAGGAGAAAATTGGCATGAGGCGGCCATGCAATGCTACCCAGTGTTGATTGCTAGCAGCATTCTGCAGGTGGCAGCTGTGCCACCATGGTTTCCAGCAGCTCTGCCCCAGTTTCTCGGCCGTGCAGTGTG